GGAGAAGCAGAAGATTGCGGAGAGGGCGAAGATCTTGAGGAACTGGCGGCGGGAGAGGATCTGCTGGAAGGGAACGATCTCGAGGAATCGAATGGCGATGTGGCTGTAGGCGGCGCAGGAGATCATGTGGAGCATTGTGAGGAAGATTGGGTAGCGATAGCCGTAGAAGCTGAGTAGGTACTTGTTGAGCAAGAGGACTCCGATGTTGGAGAAGTACCAGGAGGCGATGATTGAGGCGGTGAGGACGGTGGGGGAGAAGTAAGATCCGACGGCGGAGGAGTAGTAGTAGGCATTGTTTCCCCTGACGTCCCCCGGGGGCGTGGCGGGGATGTCGAGGACTTGGTCGTCGGCAGGGACGGAGGCGGCGGAGGAGGAGTTGGTGGTGGCGGTGGTGGAGGTGGAGTCTAGTAACCTGGGATTGCTCATCCGCCGGGTGGCCCATGACTGCGGTTCCACCATCGCCGGCGGTGGGTGGAGGATGAATGGGGAATGAGAGGGGGGAGTGCGTGGGAGATTGGGAATTGGATAGATCTGGATGAGAATTGAGAATGGGGGAATTTTGGCGAGAGGAGGAGATGACTGTACAAGGGAGGAGAGGGGGACAGAAATTTTATTTGGGGGAAATGGACGGCGGGGATTGAGATGGGAGCGGTGGTGATGAGATCTGAGTCGTAGGATTTTGGGGTATTTTTTGGGAGGGAAGGGGATTGGAGAGTGGAGAGAGAATATTAAAAACAGATCAAATGAGAGATTAGATTCCTCGTGAGAAGAGATCACCCGTATCATAAAATCGAGAGAGAGAGAGAGAGATTGGGAGGGGATGGGACTGTCGGTTGGCCAATTACAGAAATGGTCACTGAATTTTGGACAAATTAGCAAATACATCACCAAGTTATATTTTATCGTTTGAAACAATTAACGTAAACTATCGCTTCGGTTATTTTAATCGAGGTTTTTTTGTCATCCAACTTTGGCATCCCAGAGGGTCAAATAGGACATATTGATTTTAGCTAAATTATATGGAGGTTTCTGTGTATAATTCATACTCATTCCGTATCAAACTCGTTACTTTTGTACTCAGTATTGCATTGAACTATTTTGATTACCTGCTTTCCCGAACAAACAGCTAATTAGAGGGTGTATAGTTTTCGTTAATATGAAGCTGATAAATTTCGAGCGAAATACCAAATGGAGACTATAGCTCGCTAAAATATAAAATTTGGTGATCTGAGTTTATTAATGATCCCAAGGTAGTGGACATTTATGCAGTTAACCCCTTTTTCCTTATCGGGCCTTTTCGTTTTGGTTGTCTTGGGCCCCGGCCAGGGAATCAGGCTTTGACTAGTGATATCACATGCTCTCCCTCAGCTCTCTTCTTCTGCCTGGCCGTAAATTTTGAAATGGTCAACAATAGAAAACTGTAACTTTTCAACTACCGTAAAAGGTAGAATACTGAAATTGGTAATAGTGGTAAGTACCGTATGTGTATTTTTAGGGTTTTTTACTAGCCTAGATAGGAAATTATCTCCAAAATTGGGCATCTTCTGGTAGCCGTTTGGGTGAGAGGAGAAGTATAATCTCAGACTTTCCCCCATTGCATTCGTTGCCATGTGGGGATTGGAAAAGGCAACATTTAATACACTATCCGAATTGAGTAGATGATGGCATTGATGAGAGTGGATTTATATGCCCGATGGAGAACTCCTCGATGTTGAAAATCTGAAACTCCGTTTATAGGAAACTAGCTTTTTACCCGACCCGTTGGCCGGTGAGTTTAATTTTACCATTTACATTAATAAATTTATTTATATGTTTAAACTATTTTGGATCTTCTAAATGTTTTACATTTGCATCTATGGGTGAGTATGCGCTGCGTCTATAAATTAAAAATTCTCAATACTTAGCACATTCACTTATGATGCTTCGATTCACTGATCATAAATCATGTCACGAAGATATATCACGTCCCATATAGAATCTTATGTCAAGATTTGTCAATAACGATACACAATTTTTTTGTCTTATGCAATATATGTCATTCAATGAATCTCGAGTTTGGACAAACTCTCAACCAATGATGTTGCTCAGATGACGACAACTCAGTCAGATTTTTTTTATAAAGGTACTTCAATATTACATAAATTTAGTCATCCCAATTGAAAGTTTACTGTCTTAGTGTAAGATCATATTTGTGTATCAAGACACTCTATTTAATATCTTATACAATATGTACCAATTGTTAATTCCTGAAATTTAATATAGACTCACCCTCAACTCATGGTCATTGTTTAGATGTTGGTTTAGAATCTCGGTCCAAGATACTCACACACTGTTGAGGGTTCTAATCTTAACATGGTCCATTGTTGTATAATTTTCTAACTGATCAAATATGCATTTGCTAAAATTTATTTATCTTTGGTATTTGTTTTGAGATAAAAATTCCACTACTTATACTAATATCTTCATTTTGTTGGTGTAATGTCACATCTATTGTCAATATAAGAGAGAAGCATGCATTATAAGAGAGAAGAAAAATTGTCTTTCTTTATCGTCTTCATTTGTACAACCAGGTACTATATTATGGTTCGTCAAGTTTCTATAAAAAAACAACTTTTGAAGTATTTTGATATTTAATACTTGTTTTCGTTGATAGATACAAATATTAGAAATATATATTGTTTGATAACCAAAACATAAAATTATATAGTTGATTTTTCAAATTCAATTGATTATTAAATGTTGATTATCTAAACTTCCTTCATTATATTTTATTTATATATTTTTTTATTACTTATCTGTGTGTTTAATTTATTTTTTATCAAAATATAACATATATTAAGTATAAAAGAAAAAGAAAAAGAAAACTTAATTGACAGATTTAATCATATATATTTTTTGAAGCATTATAATATATGTCACTCTCCAAACATAAGTATATTGCTGCTACATATATATTGAAAAATATAATTATTGAATAAAAGATGAAAACATAAAAAGAAGATAGAGATAGATACATAAATGAACATTAAAATAAAAAGAAAATATTAAATAAAGATAGATAGCTCTGCAAAAAAACCACTCCGTCAGTGCGTTAGTGGTACTGATTTTCGACTAGTAGATTGGGAGAGATGGAGGTGGCGACGACATGGAGAGACGGAGGGGGAGGAGGCGGCTAGGGTTCTGGGGAGAGGGAAGAGAGAGGGGAGAGAAACATGTGTGTGGAGAGTTATTTTTTTGTTTAGTGAAAATAAATTATATAGAAAGCGAGAAAGGATCCTTTGTGGTAATATTTTTTTCATTCCAAAAATACCCTTCTTTTAATCCTAACCATCAATTTAAAAAAAGAAGAAAGAGACGGGAGAGAGAGCGTATCCAATGAATAGGAAGTGGGTGGTCAATCTCACAACCCCCAAATGGGGTTGTGACCGTATCCCATCCCAACTACCTACATCAAATTGTAACATCCAAAAGTCAAACCCCAAAAATTTCAATCATCTTTAACTAATATGGCTGTTACCAACGAGGCTTCAAATAAGACCGAAAATTAAAATGGGAAACTTAATTGTTCATCAGTACTTAGGGAGAATTAAACCCGTGCAGCCATGCTATTAATATATTAATTAACACCACACCGAACGTATGAGCTATTAATTTACTATTGTAACAGCCAAAATCCAACGAAGGTCACCAGCTTGCTCCGATCACTCCAACATCTTCACGGCGGCCACCTTGGTTGAACGCGACATCTAACACATGGATTTCCATAGTGAGACTTATTCACTCTCCGCTTTTGGGGTTACTTCCAGAATCTCGTGCTCTAAGTACTCTTCACAATTGGAAGGTTAATTTCACAAGAGTGAAGCGACCGAGAAGAGGAGTTTGCGCCACTGATACTTTGAAAGCCATAAATTAATTCTGGAAGTCAAAATTAATTCTTTCTATCCCATAATTTGATATATAAACCACCTATTAAAGGTTGTGAAGAACCACAAAAAGGGTCGCTTTAGTGACTCATTAATCACTTATAACGGAGCATTAAAGACCCAATAACATCAAATAACATAACTTGTGTATTAAAACTAGGGATGGAAGTTTGGTACCGGTATTTGGGATATACCGAATATCGTATCGAATTTATCAGTATTTGGTAATACTGAATACATACTTATTTTTTAGGGATTGAGATTGGAATTTATTTTGGAGTGCTATTCGGTATTCGGGATTACAGGATTGGGATCGGTATATTCCAAAATACTGAAAATTAAAAAATTATGAAATATAGCACACAACCTTTGGTCATTCCTCACTCTTTCACAACTTAGACCCCAATCCAACTCAATTTTGACTTTGCAGTTTAAGTCACTCTCGTCTCTCACCTAATCTCTTGTTATTTTCATAACACCTAAAAGCAAACACTAGTATTAGTCGTCTCTCAGCCTCTAATTCGGCAAATTAAAGATTACCAATGACAAAAAGTTGAGATATCATCTCTCCACCATTCTCCTTATCCATATCCTAACTCTAGGCGAACTCAAGACTCTTTGCTTAGTCTCTTTGCCCTAAACTACACAATCATATCTAATTTACATATTTAATTATTAATTGCAAAGCTAATTAATTTTGTATTTGATAATACCGATTGGGATACCGAAATATTTAGGGACTGGGATTGAGATTGATTTTAGGGTGTAATTCGGTATTCGGGATCCCAGTATTTGGTATTGGAATACCGATACCGTACCGATTTTTACCCCTAATTAAAAACCAAATAGGGTGAAACATACCGCCGGAACATCCTCACGCACATACCATTTGAGTGATGGCGGAGCGAGACCAAACTTTGGAGTTCACCTGCTTGAGTCTTTTGGGACATCCACTAAGAGTCTTAGATCTTCTTTTAGTGCTTCCGACAACACCACAACTGACCTCAAAATGGGTCGAACAAGAGACCTCACACTTCCCGATCAGGGATCTCTCTAGAATTTTACCAGTTTGGCTATATAAACTTTCACTCTTTATTTAAGATATTAACCTTGTGTAAGGTGAATTCTAGATTCCAATTCGTCGTTAATTATCTAACCCTTCACAAACCAATATAGAATACCTTTTTTTAATGTTTAATATAATGCATATAGTAGCCAAAGGTCACATAGCCTAAATGGTGTAAGTACGAAGAAAAGTGACGATTTGGGAGGGGCAGCTCTCAGGTTCGATCCTCCAAGATATCAGGTAAGTGTTCTCGGAGGCACAATGGAATCCTAGTGATGAACCTTTGCAAAACGAGGTAAGTTCAAACAGGTGAACCCCTCAGATTTAGTAGATCCCGCTGTCACAAAAGTGTCACGTGCCACGTAGAATTGAGGTTCCTGATTTATAAAAAAAGTTACGTGGTTAAAGCCTAAAGGCCCCCCAACAAGGCTCAAGCTTGTTAACCCAAGCCCAATTGGTATCTATCGGCCCAAGGAAGTGTGGACCCCATTCCAATCTCAAGGAACATAAACCCATGGCATCCAACGGCTCCCAAACAATAAAGCCCATCACTTACGCTTCAAACTTTAGTTTGACATGGATCCTTCTTCTTGGTCAGTTCTTTTTTTTTTTTTTTTGTCAAAGCTTGGTCAGTTCATTTTGGAGATGATATGTTTTTGTTTTTTGGATAAAGAATTCGGAGATGATATTGTTCACTTTTCAATTATGATCTGCGATTCGTATAGCTTATACATTTGAGAGTATAGCATTAATAAAAAATCAAACTTGAAATCTTTCAATTGACCGCTGGCGACTCATGATCATGTCCAGTTCAACAATGACATTGAAATCTAACCCCAAAAAATTAAGGATATCAAACTTGAGCGCCACCTAAAATCAAATTTGACGTCAACGGGGTTTCGTCATCAGTAGTCTTGTACTTTCGGGAATACCAACGAGCCTCGCTTGGATTCGAACCTGGGATATGCAACTCCCAAATCTTCACTAACGCGACGACTTTCCTGTTAGGCTATCTTACTTTTGGCTAGTTTGCTCTTTTTAAAATGTTATTATCAGACTACTTTGTATTTGCGCACAACAAATTATCAGCCAATAAACATAGAGAATAAAACAACCACTTTCTATGAATCTTGGTCTGTTTAAAAATCAGTTTTCCATGGAAAAATACTCTCTTTCATGTTTCTGCTCTCTGAATTATGTGTTTAGAGGGTTTGTGCAAAATTGCATGATTATTCCCTCTTTTATTGGGAATAAGCCATGCGACTTTGGAAGATAATTATTAATGTATTAATTAGTTAATGGATTTGATAAATTATCCTATATTATTTTCATTTTCGTACAAGAAAATAATACTAGTTAATTAATTCAAAATTTCTCCAAAAATATGTAGTTTCAAACTGACCAACCTCACTTTCTCAAACGATTTTGTTCGAATAGATGACACACCTAAGTGATTTGAATATAACTTAGTTCCTCCCTCTGTAGATAAAAAAAAAAAACTTTAGTCACCTTTTACAATACTTCACTCACCGATAATATGATATTTGAAACTTCAATTTGACTCCCAAAGCTATTCATTTCCATTTCCAACTCAAGCTAAATTTTAAGTCACGTCACCAACAAACTCACTCCCCAAGGCAAGGGTAAACATAAAAAAGCCACAACATGCATCTTTCAATTTGATACCAAAACAAAAGAGAGAAGTCTCGAAATACAAACACAAGTCACTCAATTTGACACCATAACATGCATCATCAAAGCCAACAAGACCAGCTACAGCTTCTTCTTTTTTTTTTTTTTTTGCCTCCATTGGAGCATGCTTGCAATGCACCCGTCGACACAGCAAAATCAAACCCAAAAAACGGAAGAGAAAAGAAGGAAGAACACTAGAGCTAAGTCAAAGGTAGTGAGGGTGCGCCTTGGATATGTTGTTTTTGCCGCCGACATTGCAACTCCCAGCACTGCTACTACTCCCGCTGCTCTGAGAACCACAGCCGCCGCTGCCGTTCGCAGCCTCATTCCCGCCGCTGGCGGCAGAATTAGCAGGAGGAGGAGGAGGAGGTCGGAGCACCACTTGCTTTGCGCTTCTAGAACGGTGGCGGCCGCGGTGCATGTGCTTGTCGCAGTACTTCTGGTCAGGCAAAGCCTCTTTGCTACACCTCCATTTTTTCCCGTCAGTTCTCCTGCACCTCCCTGGCTCCGGATCCAGTGTCCCACCGTTCTTGTAGTACTCCATACCCATCATTTGCAGGTTGCACTGCGTCACTGCTCCAATTCATTTCCCCACCCCCCAAACAAATCCGAAATATAATTAAAACCCGAAAAATCAAATCAAAGAATCAATTGATTTCAATAACTCGACCTGTTAGGAAACTCGAAATGGAGCCGAAAAAGTTTGAAATTTGTACATACATCAGAAAACTATGTGTTAAACAAATACGGTCATTGTAATTTCAAGAGAAAACCACTTAGACCACAAAAACCTTTAATTCCATATAAAAAACCAATTAATTAGAATAATTCAAATCGTTGGAATGAGATTTAGTCACCACGAATCATTTATCCCTTATTAAGATTCAGTTTATCACAATTACTCGTTTTTTTTATATTTATTTCTCTAAAATTTTGTTGGGTTGTGAGTGTGGGTAGTAGTACTTACAGCTGGGGAAGAGATGATGCAAGGTAGGGTGGTGGTGGCGGCGGTGGAGAGGGACGGCGGCGAGGCTCCTCCAGATAGGGACAAGGAGGCTGGGAGGAACTCTGGCTCCGGCCTCTATATACCTGTATATCACTGATTGCAGCTGCAGCTCTTGCAGCTGCGGCAGTGTAAACCCATGCACCATTGATTTACCCACTGGCTCCTCTTCTCCCTGCCGCTGCTGATCGTCGCCAGCACCGCCGCCGGTTGTAAGGCCCAGGCCCAGCCCCACTGAAGGCCGATTCTGATTACCAGCAGTCGTCGCCGACCCATGGGCCGCAACAGCTGCTGGGTCCATGTTCCAGATCAACAGCCCCTCCAAACCTGCAAAATTAACGTCAACAAAATAGATAAAATAGAATGATAATTACTAGATAGAAGAAGAGAATAGAAGGTTCTGAAATCAGTAGCAGCAGTACCGGTGGCAGGGTAGTCGGAAGAAAGACGGGGAATCTTGAGAGGTGGGGCTGCTGCTGCCACTGCAATGCTGTTGTTGTTATTATTGCTCTGAGATGGATGATGGCAGGGCGGTATCTGCCGCAGCTTATTATTATTGCTGTTGTGATTGTGCGGCATTGTTGTATTATTATATTAGGAAAACAGAGGAAAAAAGGGGAACATGGGAGCAAAACAGGGGAAAACAGAGCAAGCTCTGGAGAGGGTTTGCAGTGTTGGTAGAGATGGAAGTCAGATATAATGGACGAGGGTAAAAGGCAGGAGGGCAGGGCCTGCCACTGCCAGTCAGCGCCCCAACGTAACCTTCAATGGGTTCAGTGCAGTAAATGACATAACGACGACATGCATACTTTTTTTCTTCTTCTACTTTTTTCTGACCAGTTTTGATTTTGTTATGAATTGTTTGGAGGTTAGCGAAGACTGGAAGAGAGAGGCTAGGGGTTTTATGAAACGTAAGTCGAGTGTTTTGTTGTGCAGGTGTTGCTGAAGCTGAACCCACACACACGTGTGTCAGGCATTCACATTCTAGTGTAGCTACGTATCTGTGTCTCCAACTGAATTTTGTTATGGTGGCAGAGTGGAGTTGGGGGGCAATGGTAATATTGTGGGATTATGTGTTTCTGTAATGCGTATATTTGATGGTTGAGTGTTTTTTTAGTGAGGAAACTTATGTCGGTTTAATTCAATTGTGTATTTGATTTTTTTTGTTGGTGATTACGGACATACGGTTTTGTATCTATTTGGATAAAGTTTCAACGAATGTGTTTGATTGATGATTTTTGAAAATAAAAGTACATTAAGTTACTCATACACCTATGAGAGTTTCAAACTACGACTATGACTACTTTGACAAAGAAAAACAAAAACTTGACATAGGTGTCAGGTGTATGATTTTGAGAACCATTGTCTCTAGCTCTCTGTCGACCTCTCTTTCTATTTGTAACCATGGAGTAGTGACTATGTAGAGAACCGTCATCTTGATTACTACCACGAAGAACTGCTCCCCCTCATCATCTTGAAACTATCGTACATGCTGGAGTGTAGCTTGCTTCGCGCTTGATCTTGTTCCAAATCTCGCTATTGCTTGCTTCTCGTCTCGCCGGCCATGGACTTTTGGCGTCATGTCCATGACCCTCTAGTGACATGCCAATGACCCTTTATATGACTGGAAGTATGAAATTCAGTACTCAGATTTTTCGAGGCAAAATTCGTAACAGCTCTCACATTCCATCTCTGACTGATTTTCTTTCTCAACCATCAACGACCTCAAGAAAAGTGATACTGGGATCATGTGACACATACAGCAGACATGTGTATTGCAGGGGAGGAAAGGGGAAGACCGGAAAAGTAGTTGAGGAGCTAGCAATAGCATTGAAGGTCCCAACATGATTTTTGTCAAACAGTAACAGTCGTGGTTTAGTAACAGATTCATAATTATCATTGTGCTCATAATTTTGGGTAATGTAATGGGAAAGATGCCAAACTCGTGACTATTAAGCATGCAACAACAGTAACCTAACCAGTCCTGCAATTCTTTTTTTTTTTTCCATAAATAAGCATATATATTAAGCAAGAACAGTAACAGTAGTTTCAGCTTTATTAATTATTCGAAAAGGAAGATGATAAGGATGGTGCATGCAAGAGAGTAAGGTGCAGTTACACTAAGCCTCGTCGTTAGAGGTGGCAAATGAAACGTATTCATAAATGGTGGATTTATAGGCTAAATAGATTGGTGGATTTAGGAGAAAAAATAGATTAGTGGGTTGGATCATGCATCTAAGTGACATCTAAACATTGGATCATATCTAAATTTTGATAAATTTAGGTACTAAATTGTCATAATAGAAAATTTTAGGTACCAAAACTTAATTTTCCAACGATATTTTTTGTTTTAGAAATAATTTTAGGTGCCAAATTGTAAAATATAACCATATAGATACTAAACTATAATTTGTGAATAATACATGAATCCAGTTCATGAATTACCTATCTAATGAGATTTAGATCAAATGGATTGAAATTAATTGGGTATTTGATGGATTGATTGGTTTAAAAATTGCTACCACTACTCGTTGTCCTTGTATCCTTTAAATATAACTTATGTATGTTCCGAAATTTTGTAACAATTACGAAGAAATTTAAAATAGTATAGTAAATTTAATAAAATGATTGTCGTTAACCCACCACATAATATTTCATATTTTGTGTCATTGATACTGAGATTAATACACCGTAATAGTAGGGAACAAGAATTTGATCTAACAAGTAATTCTCAAACTTTGAGGTAAAAGAAACCGGAAAAAATCCCAAAATACACGTTTTTTAAAAAATTTCCCAAAATACACACGTTATAATTTTATTTCCCAAAATACACATGTTTGGGCATCACCGCTGTCGTCAATCGCAGTGAATGCATTCACCGTGGCACACGAAAGCGGTGAATGCATCACCGCGGTTGACGGCCGCGGTGAATACCTGACGTAATACTGAAACTTCAAACAAACGTAACTTTATGCTCGGTTATCCGATTGTAGCGATTTTTTTCCCCACATAAATTTTCAATATCTTTCAATCTTCAACAAGCCTTCATCCCAAAAAAATTCGTTTGCTACCCGAACGAGCAATTTTTCGATTTTGACCAACTTTGGAAGACCATAACTTTGTGCTCCACAATCTGAATGTCACAAAACTTTTTTTGATTTCGCATAACTTTTGAAGGACTACAACTTTGATTATAACCATAATTTTGGAAAGTATGTGGATTTGTGAAAAGTAAAGGCAAAGTTATTCTCAAAATCCCGTATACCCAAAAAGATTTCTTTTTAAAAAAATTCTTTCCTATTAAAAGTCGTAGTTCTTAAAATGTTATGCGCAATTTAAAAAAACTTTACGACGTTCGGATTGAGGAGATAAAAGTTATGACCTTCCAAAGTTTGGCAAAATCGAAAATTGCTAGCTCGGGGTAACAAACGACATTTTTTTAGATGAATTCTTGTTTCAAATTGAAATATCTTGAAAAGTTATATGGAATAAAACAAATCGCTACAATCGGATAACCGAGCGCAAAGTTATGTTTGTTTGAAGTTTTAGTGTTATCTCAGGCATACAGCGCGGCCGTCAACCGCGGTGATGCATTCACTGCGGTTGACAACAACGGTGATGCATTCACTGCGGTTGACAACAACGGTGATGCCCAAACATGTGTATTTTAGGAATTTTTTTATAACGTGTGTATTTTAGAAATTTTTTCTAAAACTGTGTGTATTTTGAAATTTAATCCAAAGAAACAATAGTAGTAATGTTAGTTTTCTTTTACGAATGAGGCATTCTTTGACAGAGAAAACAAATTTACTAATCACATTCCACATACCACTAGAGAAGAAGGCTCTTTATACATATGGATTTTGCTTCTATGATAGAGTCTGTAAAATATTTCATTACTCCATCAACTAACTATAGATAAAATTAAACATTTTTGCGAATTTGATAACTAATTGTTTATAATTTGAAGCTCAATATTTAATAGACATTACGCAAACATAATAATAACTAGTAGTAATCCATGATGATTCTTTGTTTGCCGCCTATAAAAATTGATGGTCAGTATCTAGAATATATCATGAGTATATGACCCTTTGATAGTATACAAAAGAAATGAAGATTGAAGAGTTGAGACTTAATAGCAGATTTTCTTGGAATAATCTTCCATTTTTTTTTCTAATTATGATATATGTCATTGAGTTTCAATGGGTAGATTTGTCATGCAAAATATCATTAATTTTTTTTCCAAAATTAACAAATATAAAAACAAAAATACGAGTTACATTTGTTGTTCGAAAAAAATAAAAGATATAGACGAGTGCAAATTAAATTTCAATGTTAGTGACATTAATAAATTAATTGCCTAACAATTCATTAAGAATTCTAAACCTCCAAATTCCAAAAAATTTAAACCTCATCAAATTTGTCATTTATGCACCTAATTAAGTTGTCGATATTGCCAATGTAAGTGAAATTGATACCTAACATTTTCATTTTGGGGCAGGCAGTTTGGTAAATGGCCAGATTCTACAAATAAGCCTATAGCAATTCAAGTATTCAACACATGGGCATGATAGTGAAGATCGTCTCCCTCTCTGTTATATTTATGTAGCGCAAACTGATGCCATACGTACCCCAAACCAACCGCCAGAAAAATGGAGTACTTCCTCCTCAGTTGCCTCCTCTGCCTCCTCTGCACCCTCACCGTCCTCCAGTTCCTGGCAAGAAGACCCAACAAAACTCCGGCCAACCTCCTGCCGGGTCCAGCCCGGCTTCCAATAATAGGCAACCTCCACAATCTGGGCGACCAGCCCCACAAATCACTAGCCGATCTAGCCAAGATTCACGGGCCCTTGATGAGCCTAAAGCTCGGCCAAATCACCACCATCGTCGCTTCTTCCCCTGCCGTCGCCAGAGAAATCCTACGAAAGCATGACCAAGCCCTCTGCGAGCGCCAGCTCATCCTCGCCATACAAGCCCTCGACCACCACCAGTCCGGTCTGCCGTGGCTCCCCGTCGAATCCAAGTGGAGGAACCTCAGAAAAGTTTGCAACTCCTACCTCTTCACTACCCAGAAGCTGGATTCCAACCAGGGCCTCCGCAGGAAGAAGATTGAGGAGCTCCTCGAAGGTGTTCGACGAAATGGCTGTGAGACGGGGAAAGCGGTGGATATCGGGAGAGAGGCGTTCAGGGCCACCTTGAATGCTCTGTCCATGACGATTCTTTCGTTGGATCTCGCAAATGATGACGAGGGATGCGCCAAGGAGTTCAAGGAGATTGCGAATGGGATTATGACAGAGGCCGGGAAATCCAATTTGGGAGACTACTACCCTGTTCTGGGCAAGATGGATTTGCAGGGAATACAGAGGCGGACGAGTACTCATTTCCGGAGAGCTCGGGAACTGTTTGGTTCAGTGGTCGACGGACGGCTGGTGAAGCTGAAGTCGGAGAGCTATGTCTCCGGTAATGACATGTTCGACACACTTCTTGCCTTTGGAGATGAGAATAGTCACGGGGCTTCCATGGATACAGAGCAGATTAAAAGCTTGTTTTTGGTGAGTTCCTATTTGTTCCAAATATATTTTTTTTTTCATTTAAAAACAAGTAAATGAAAAACATTTAGTGAGTTCCTATGCTATATTGTCACCATTCTGGCCATGAAACATCAGGATCTATTTATAGCTGGGACTGATACAACTACAAGCACTTTAGAATGGGCCATGGCTGAGCTCTTACGCAATCCCAATGCACTTACTAAGGTACAAGAAGAACTAGATCAGACGATCGGAAAAGGAAATCATCTTCAAGAATCAGACATTCATCGATTACCCTACACTACAAAAAAAGTGAGCTATGCCAAGGGCTCTGTACCAAGGGTTTAGTAAACCGCTGCTAATTTGATTCCGGACGCACAGTTTCACGGGTTCGTTCAGGGGTTCGGAAACCCCCGCTACTGACTTAACTACTAAAAATTCAATCTATCGGGAAACTCTTTGACACAACAACCCGTCTCTTCATCTTCCCAACCCCTATTATCACAAATGCTTTTCGCCATCTCCCCTCCATAACAAAATCCCCAATTTCCAGCTCTTATGCCCGTGAAATGAAAACGAACGCTGATCTCTCTCTCCCTCCAATTGAATCAGTGGCGATTCTCCGGTCTCTCTCTCTCGATCAGGCGTAAAACGGTAGAAATTCTGTGATTCTCCTATTCTATGATAAGGTTCTATCTCTTTCTCACTCTCTTGCGCGCTCTCAACCTCTCTCTCTCATGCGCGCGTGAGCTCTCTCTCTGGCGGCCGTTGGAGCAAATGGCGGCCAAGTTGGAGATGGCATTGCTCGAGTTGTGTAAGTTTGTGATAAAAGTGTTGAACTTCTTATTTCACACTTTGATAATTCTGTACATTGCAGCCTAGCTGAATTTATACACTTGGAGCAAGCTCTAAAGTAAGCTGTCCGGGAAGAGAAAGAAATGAAAATCATATCCTATCATAATTGTGGATCTTATCTTGTCATAATTTTAGATCTTCAGATCTAGTGTAAATGTGATAGAGACTTAGGTGGTTGAATGAGTTGTGGTGCTAGCTGTCGAATTGATGATTTCCTTCACTCCCCCGCAAGTTGGAACGTGAAGGGTACAAACACCCAGCTTGCACAAAAGAGAATGAAACCGATCTGCTCCAAGAGCTTTGGTGAATATATCGGCCAACTGATCAAGGGTGTTGATCTTGAGCGGTTCAATTTCGTGAGATTGAACACGTTCACGAACAAAGTGACAATCCATTTCAACGTGTTTAGTGCGCTCATGGAAGACTGGATTAGACGCAATGTGAAGTGCAGCTTGATTGTCTCAAAAGAGAGTAGTTGGACCATGTTGGGGCGCACCAAGATCTTGGAGGAGGGCGCGGAGCCAAAGAAGCTCGCTAACGGTGGTAGCCATGGCTCGATATTCTGCTTCAGCCGAGGAGCGAGCAACAATATTTTGCTTCTTTGTGCGCCGTGAGATCGGAGCATCTCCTAGGCGGATGAGGTATCCAGTAGTTGAACGTCGGGTTAGGGCACAACCACCCCAATCTGCGTCGCAATAAGCCTGCAAGGTGAGAGAGCTTGCACTTGGGAAGAAAAGTCCTTGCCCCGGAGCGCGTTTGAGGTAGCGTAAAATACGAGCCGCAGCTTCAACATGCTCACGTTTAGGAGAATCAATGAACTGACAAAGAAAATTCACTGCATACTGAATGTCTGGGCGAGTGATGGTAAGGTAAAGAAGTCTCCCAATTAAGCGTCGATATTGACCAGGGTCGGTGATAGGAGGGGTTTCTGCCAGTGCGAGCTGATTGTGTTGCTCCATGGGGAAGGCACTGGGACGCCCACCGGTAAGGCCACTATCTTCGAGGATGTCCATCGCATATTTTCGTTGGTTGAGCACAATGCCACTAGGTGAGCGAGCTACTTCGACACCAAGAAAGAACTTAAGAGGCCCCAGGTCTTTAATGCTAAAATCACTGTCAAGTCGGCGTTTCACTGTTGTAATGAACGCGTCGTCATTTCCTGTAAGAATGACGTCATCAACATAGATCAAAGCAACCACAAAAGAGTCACCATGGTGAGAAACAAACAGAGAGTAATCGGCTCGAGATTGACGAAATCCAAGATCAAGGAGAGATGCTGTGAAACGAGCATGCCAATTCCGAGATGCTTGTCGCAAGCCATATAGGGACTTCTTGAGACGACACACACGGTGATCTCCTGTTCTAGAAAAACCTTCTGGTACCTTCATATAGACTTCCTCCTCCAAGTCACCGTGTAGAAACGCATTATTGACATCGAGTTGATGAAGTGGCCAACCTCGTACTGCAGCAACTGCAATGAGACATCGAACTGTTACCAGTTTGGCAACTGGTGCAAATGTTTCATGATAATCAACCCCAGGGATTTGAGTGAAGCCACGAGCCACCAAACGAGCTTTATAGCGCTCAACTTCTCCTGTGGGTTTAAATGTGATCTTATATACCCATTTTGAGTCTATCGCGCGTTTGCCCGGTGGTAGATATACAAGCTCCCAAGTGCCATTGTCCTCTAGCACCTTCATCTCCAGTTTCATGGCTAGACGCCAATGAAAATTTTGAGCTGCCTGGCGGTACGTCTTAGGCTCATACACATTGGTGATGGCCGAAAGAAAAGCTTTATGTGAGGATGAAAACTTATCATATGAAACATAATGTACAATAGGGTATACCTCGGAAGAGTCCGTTGAAGTAGGGGGTTCTGTGATGGCGAGTGATGGGGGAAGAGACGTGTCAAAACCTTGAAGTGTGATTGATTGCTGCCGAATACGAGTACTGCGACGAGGTTGGTGAGGTGAAGTAGCATTAGTTGCTGGAATGGGATCAATCCCATCATTCAGAAGTGGTGCTTCTCCATTATCATGTCCCAATAATTCAATTGTGGGCTCATGAGAATTAATGGGTTCACGTGATAATCCTTGAGAATGAATGGACTCCACCACATTATCATCAACAAAAGTTTGAGCAGTTGGGCTGTGGGAACTTGAAACGCCAACTTGCTCACCTTGATGAAATGGAAATGAAGACTCCACGAACTTAACATCTCTTGAGGTGATAATTTTTCTTTCCACTGTGTCATAAATTCGATATCCCTTTTGACCTTGGGGATAACCCACAAAAATTCATGCCCGTCCTCGTTCACCAAATTTATCAAGTGACTTCTTATTATCATGGAAGTAAACCAAACACCCGAAAACCCTCAAATGATTGTAAGTTGGTTGCTTTTGAAGTAGTACCTCATATGGCGTCTTGTTTTCTGTGGCCTTTGTCGGAAGACGATTTATCAGATAAGTGGCGGTAAGAACACACTCCCCCCAAAATCGTACTGGGAGACCGGATTGGAATCGGAGTGCTCGCGCCATTTCAAGGATGTGTCTGTGCTTTCGTTCAACCACCCCGTTCTGTTGGGGCGTGTCGGTGCATGACGTCTCCAAAATAATTCCCGAGGCTTCATAGTAATTCTGCATTTGGTGAGACCGAAATTCTTGACCATTGTCGGCTCGAACTCGTTTTACTGCTCTTCCAAATTGAGTTTTGACCATGTTGCAAAAATTAGGTAGTAAATTCCCAACTTCTGACTTGTGCTTCATCAAATAAACCCATACACCTCTGCTGTAATCATCCACAATAGTAAGAAAATAATGAGCTCCCGAGAGAGATGCTGTTTTGTATCCACCCCAAATGTCACAGTGGATCAAATCGAAACACCCAGTAGTTTTACTTTCACTAAGGGAAAACGGAGAACGAGTTTGCTTGGCCCGAATAAAAGCATCACAAGGACCAAGCTTATTAAAACATATTCGATTTTCAGATACCGGCAGATTATTTAGCTTTCCTGACGAGGCATGTCCCAACCGTCGATGCCATATTTCTGGTGATTCTTCCCGTTGAGCCGCCATTGCCATCTTTTGGTTTGACACGTCTTCCCATATATAGAGACCATCACAGAGTTTACCCACTCCAATCAGCCTCTTCGTTGGTAACTCCTGTATCACACAAAAATCAGAAAAAAATGTTACGGCGCAATTTTGATCTTTCGTCAAGCTACTTATGGAGATCAAATTGCATTTGAAGTTTGGGACGCACAAAACATTATGCAATTTAATGTCACCGTTTAGGTGAGCAGCTCCAAGCCCATTTATGGGAATTTGTTGACCATTTGGAATTCTCACGAACGTTGGCACATTAATCCTCCGTTTGGACTCCAAAATGGCTGAATTGTTGGTTATGTGATCTGTGCAAGCAGAATCCAAAGCCCATATAGTATTGGACTTACCACTCATATTAGCTTGAGGTTCGGTTGCACTATCCTTCAAGCTATCTTGGCCCAAAAACTTGAGCAATTTATCAAATTGGGCTCGTGACAAATTCAGCCCAGATTCATTTCAGCAAGTGCTTGGGCAGCCCTGGGATTCCTCCTTCCCCCAACGAAGCCACCGGTTCCTTCCTCCCCTCTGCGCTCGGGGAAGAAATTTGCGGCCTCAGTTTCGCGGCTGCCGGTTGCTTTGTAATTCCACCCTCTTCGTCCATCCGGCCAACCTATGATCTCATAGCAGGTCTCCTTTTGGTTTCTCTCCATTACGCCGTTGCTCGCCCTTGGATTCGCGATTCGGGATTTGTGATTGAACCGTCGCCGCCGCTTGGAAAGCTGCTGCCTCCGGTGTCGATTTTCGAGACGCAGTGATACCTCGCTGGTGCTCATCCTCCAGAGCGAGATGGAAAGCTGTAACGAGCGGGGGTATCGGCTGAAGGCTTAGAATATGAGTTCGGATGGCCGCAAACTCATCATTCAAGCCCATAAGAAAATCATAGAGTTGTTCCTTCTCTTTTGATTCTCGGAGCTGCTTCGATATTGAGCAACTGCAATTGCCACACGAGCAGCTAGGTAATGGGCTAATCGACAGGAGCTCGTCCCAAAGAGTGCGCAATTTGGTGTAGTAAGCTGACACACCCAACGATTCTTGTCGAAGCCAGCTGATCTGCCGTCGAATCTCGTACGCTCGTGGGGCGCTGCCTTTCCCAAATCTCTCCTTTAGGTCCTGCCAAATCTCCCGTGCAGTTGTGGCGTAGCGCACACTGTTCCCGACCTCCTTTGTCATGGTTGTTTTAAGCCATCCTTTGACCATGGCATCGCAACGTAACCATTGCTGCTTTTCGAAGGCCGGATCTTCTGGTTTTGGAATTGTTCCATCAACAAAACCAATTTTGTTTTTGGCGAACAAGAGCTCTTGCATGTCCGCAACCCATTCTCCATAGTTGGAATCATGAAGGGCTTCAGCAACATATACCTGCCCAGGGCTATCCGACTGGTGGAGGTAGTATGGAGACAATGGATCTATTACCGCACCGGTTGTTAGCGTGGCCGTAACAAGTGGAGATCCTTCTATGCTGCCTGTTTCACTCATGGTGTGATGAACCACTTTGATAAATTTCTCTCTCTCTCTTTTTTTTTAACAGAGTCGTGAGGAACTATGCTCTGATACCATGATAAAAGTGTTGAACTTCTTATTTCACACTTTGATAATTCTGTACATTGCAGCCTAGCTGAATTTATACACTTGGAGCAAGCTCTAAAGTAAGCTGTCCGGGAAGAGAAAGAAATGAAAATCATATCCTATGATAATTGTGGATCTTATCTTGTCATAATTTTAGATCTTCAGATCTAGTGTAAATGTGATAGAGACTTAGGTGGTTGAATGAGTTGTGGTGCTAGCTGTCGAATTGATGATTTCCTTCAGTTTGGATAGTAAGGCTTTGAAGAATTGAGTGTTTGAGGATAGAGTGTTTATGAATTAGGTCAAGTGTGAATTACTTCAGGCCTGCTCGTCTCCTTATTTACTGTGAAGACTCGATATTTTATCAAGTATGGATAGCAGATGCTTGGCGGCTGCCGCAGCAGTAGCAGTAGTGCCATTGAAGGAGGAGGGAGCAGAGGATCCGGCTCGGGTTATAGATCGAGGATCGCGACTCTGTTGTTCTCGATGATGAGGAGGAACAGGAACCATAGGTATCTCGTTATACTTCATCTTCGTTGCTGGCACTTCTCGATTATCCCCGTTCTCCCTTCCTAGTTGAAGCTGTTGGTACCATCTTTGTTGTTAGCTTCTTGAAAGAGATAGGCTCCTAATAGAGGATGTCTTTACTAGTAGTGTAGTTTTCTCTAAAGATGGTTGATTACCCTGGCTAATGGGACTAACTAGGTTTTGAGAGGGTTTAAGTATTTTGTTTTTCATGAAATCTAGTAAAGTAATCACCCTGACTCGTTCCTTCAGTTTAACTTCATTTTCAAGCTCTAACTTTGAATACGGTTATCCTTGTTGCCTCTCCTATGCAAGTTCTGTTTTGTATTTTGATTATCTAGTTTGAATGTGGATTCTCTACTGAAGTCAGTATTGGGCTTGTTCATAAGGTACAGTTGACGAGGATTCTTCATAATTGGTTTCGAGCTGCCAACTTGCTATCGGGTATGGATTAATCATGCCCTCTAAAGCATATAATGTCTCTGTCAATGTAGTCTAGTTGTAATCAATTCTCATTGTTGTTAACAAGCTTAAGTTAGAGAGCATAAATTCTAAGCAAAGAGCTTCTACTTGTTGCTTTAAATCATAAAATTACTATGGCTTTTACTGTAATTCCAAAATTGATTTCTTAAGCATATCAGTGTGACAGCAGGAGTGGCAGATTTCTAGTCCAGCCGAGGTACAAGTGTTCATCAATATCCATATGTGAATTTCTAAATCTTTACCAAGTCTTGACTTCCATGTTTCAGTCGATTCTCAACTTTCTTTTATTGGATCTTTTATAAGCACGCCGGGAAAAAGACAGATTCAGTTTTTAGCATTTCAACTTGATGCCAGGTGGATTGGCTAGGCTGATGTGCACGTACGTGATGAAAGTGGACAGAAGGCACTAACAGATGGAGTTGCCCCTTCTCCATCTGTGGGGTGATGCAGTCGTATGCTTATTCCTGTTTCTCCATGACTTCTATATAAGCAAGCTTACTACAATCTTTAAGAATGTATTCCGGGTTCTTATTTTTTGATGGCTGGATGCTACATTATGTTCCAGGTTCCAAACTTATGATTACACAAGGCACTTTGTCAGTGCATGTACGCGCATATTAGGGCTCGAGGGGACACCTGAAGGAGTAGAAGATAAGGGGAGGCTTACTCATTATAGATAGTTTTTTTTTTGGTTATGAATGGCAATTTACCATCGACTTCTAATTAGCTATTGCTTGTATACAACGTGATCGAAATAGCAGGACCGAAGAGGAATAGGAAGAGTTGCAGACTGATATGAGTTAATCAGCTTTATTGCTTCCATTTTCTCATATTGGGTAGGATTGAGATGCTCTATCGCTGCCTCCAGTAGAAAGCCATGAACCCTATTCTCTCATATTCGGAAGAAGAAGAAGTAGAAGAAGAAGATACTACAGCTTTCAGGTTAAGCTCCCTTCTGAACCCCATTCTCTATAGCATTCTATGTTAGATAAATTCTTGATTGGTTCCCTGGATTCTGCTGTTCCATTCGGGTTTGAAGAAGCAAAAGATACTAGAGGAAGAGTTTGCGAGTGTCCAGCTGTGGATGACATTCAAATGAAGATGTAATAACTTTGAAAGGAGAGTTAAGTGAGATGGAGAAACAAATCGAGGCCATGGCGAGGTTCATCAGTAAGAAGTTTCTTTGGCAAAATTGGATAGAAGATGCTGAAAATAATCCGGTAATGTCTCTCTTATCTTTTTGTCCTGTTTGAACTTGCACTAGTAAGAGTATTGAATTGGGAATTAATATAATTGATGTTTGGAACTGAAGACATAGGACTGTTTTTTTAAAGCTAGGGTAGATTCTAGAATAATTTTTCTAGAAAGCTGGGGTAATTATGAATGGATCAACAAGCATGACCAAGTTGTAGTGGCCATTATTGGATTGTTTGGTGTCACCTACAAAGTGTTTTGCTGCTAGTATTGGTATTGCTAGGGGTGTGTAGTGACTGAACCTATTCTTATGCACACAGTGATGTTTTCAGTTGCTTGGAGGCACCTTTTCATGTGGTGCCTCTATTTGGAGTTTAATATGGATGGCAACAACTCATCCTTCGTGTTCTCGGATGAGATCTTAAAAGCAACAAGTACTTGAAGCTGCAACAGCAGATCTATCAGGTTTTCAATTCCAGTGGCTGTTCTGAATCCTTGTCATGCCTTTTTTTAACCTTGTCGCAGCAGCAGCTCTCTGAGGTTTTTAGAAGTTAATATTTCTCCTTTATTTATTGCTAGAACCAACTGTGGATTCACTTAGAAGCAACAAGTGCTAGAAGCTGTAGAGATGCAACAGTAGATCTCTAAGATTTTCGATTCCAGTGGCTCTTTTGAATCCTCAATGCTACATCAAGTTGGGGTGAAGTTCAAACATGAAGGAGATGAAGAAATTAGAACTTTTTTTTATGGTTAAGCAAATAGAAATTCATCACTAGACCATACTTTTCCGAATTATGTTGGAATATTCATGGTAATTAGTATTTAGCCATGTAATCAATATTTTCTTGGATCATGAATTATGATATGAATGATGGAATATTAATGGGAATAGTGTATGGTATTGGTTTGGCTACTATTGAGTTTCAGGTTCTGCGCTTGTTTACAGTGACCAGATTTTTTGTAACCAAGTTATAGCCATTAGTCATTGTTCACTTTAGCGACCGTTTTGAGATCCTTTAGCGACAGTTTGAGTTCGTTGCAATTGATTTAGCCACGAATAGGGGTTTTAACCCTTGGCTGTTTTAGTAACAAATTTACCAAGGGTTTTAACCCTCACTATGAACATCTCATGGCTGGAGTTTATACCGACGCGTAGCAGGGGTTTTAACCCTTGAATCATGTAGCAAGGGTTGAAACCCCTGCTACAACCCTTGGATGGGACTTTCACCGTGGGTTGCTCAAAACCCTTGCTACATGTAGCAGGGGCAACATTGGCGAGGGTTCGTGCAGGGGTTGTCAAAACCCTTGCTACAATTTGTAGCAGGGGTTAAAACCCTTGCTACAGATTGTAGCAAGGGTTGCGATGGACCCTTTTTTTTTGTAGTGCTACCTACAATCGGTTATCAAAGAGACTTTCAGATTACACCCAGCAGCTCCACTTCTACTCCCACGAAAGGCAAGATCAGATGTTGAAATTGGCGGGTTCATTGTGCCCAAAGGCGCACAAGTTCTTGTCAATGCATGGGCTATAGGTCGGGATCCATCTGTATGGGATGATCCCAATTCGTTTGTGCCAGAAAGATTTATGGGGTTGCAGGTTGATGTCAAAGGGAATCACTTTGAGCTGATCCCATTTGGTGCTGGAAGAAGGATATGCCCTGGATTACCATTAGCAATCAGGATGTTGCATATGATGTTGGGTTCGTTGATTCATTGGTTTGATTGGAAATTAGTGGATGGTTTCGCGCCAAAGACATTGGATATGGAAGAAAAGTTTGGGCTTACTGTGGAGAAGGCAAAACCTTTGGTTGCTATTCCGACTCTTAGATAAAATCATGAGACGGATGGTAGGCATTTGTACTATTATAAATAATGGAACTACACATAATTATTTGGGACGTAACAAAATACTTCTATTGATAAGTAAAGTGAAATATTCTACTCACACTTTGGAGGTACCACTATGTGAAAGTTCAGGTGAACTCATTCATCTCTTTAGTGTGTTTTGTTTCATTTCATGATGTGTAAGTATAATAGGACTGTCAATATCGTGAGAAAACAAGTCATCTCATTCTTGGTTTAGCAGCTTGTGACCAACGTATTTTACTTTTTCTTAATATGGTCTGCAAAGATATTGTATATATTTGTATCTTGCTATTTTGTATTATAATATCTTCGAGATCTAGAAAAAGAAAGTGGAATTTATATTGTGGTTTGCAAGAAAATAATTTTTATTTTATTTTCTATAATATTAATAGTATGTTGTGGTTGGACCGACTTTAGTATTTTCAACCCAAGCATATTACCAAAGATATATGAGTTGTTAGAGAGTGATGTAAGATCCATAATTAACCTTCTCCCAACAACTAGAGTTATTGGTATCAACTGGTTCTTTACATGGTATTACCGTATTAGAACTTTCTGTGATCGAGAGGTCTTTTGTTCAAATCGTGATGACACTCATCTGCTTGTGTTAAGCACATAGTATTCAAAATATATAAGTTGGCTTTCGTTTGAGAGGGTGTGTTAATAAATGATATTATAACCTGAGTAAGAAAATGCTATCAAGACCTCGAATTAACCGAATTTTTGGGCATGTAACTTACCATAACCCTTGATGAGTGAACAGTAGGTCTTAGTTATCTAAATCATAGAGCTTAACTCCTAAGATTGTGAATGTAATTTGTTGCATATATTTCGACGAATCATAACCGTAGATTTGTATTTCTAATTAAATTGTTATTAGTGTATGAGATTTATAGAATTAAGACCTAGATTTTAATCTTTAAGGGTTAGATGCCAAACTCCGGTCAATGTAAGGTATATATAATTTTCTTACTCAAGGTATGCTCCACTTTTGATTTTACCCAATGTATGCTATAACTTTGATTTTACTCAAGGTATCGAGAACCACCCATATATATATATATGGTTTGGGATAATGAGTTGGGCGTGTCTACCTAAATTGTGTTATGCAATCAAGAACAATCAAGAGCTTTATTGTTTTATGAATAAAAAGAGAGAAATGTTTGAATCTTTAGGTATTATGCAAAGTATTAAGTATGTGTTATATGATGTATTAAGTATATGACTACTTGCCTAATTGGTTAGTTGGTTTGATTAATTAATAGCTAGTATCTGAAACCAAATCAAGCCACCTAAACTAAACAAATTAAAAAAATTAATCGAGTCAAATTATTCAAATTAACCAAATCATACTATCCAAATACTACCAATTAATATAATTATTATAATAACCACTCCATTTCAACACTCTTTTGCGGGGGAAAAGAAAACAATAACTCATATTTTGTTTGATTGCATGATTACAAATACAATAACCAAGATCCTCTTCAAATCAAAATATAGGTTTATGTTCCATCTGAAATCCAACAAGTAAAACTTCATAAAACAATACACGACAAGAGAAATACTTTAATAGTTGTCGAGAAAAGAGGGGTAGCTCATGCTCTATCTGCGTATTGGAACAACAAGCAAAGGTTTGGCCTTCTGCAAAGTGATCCCAAACTTCTCTTCCATATCCAAGTTCTTTGGCTCAACTCCATCCGCCAGCTTCCAATCAAACCAATGAATCAAAGAACCTAGCATCATGTGCAACATTCTCATTACCAATGGTAATCCAGGACATATTCTTCTACCAGCACCAAATGGGATCAACTCGAAGCTATTCCCCTTGGGGTCAACGTCCGATCCCACAAACCTTTCCGGCACAAACGAGTTGGGATTGTCCCATGTAGCCGGATCCCGACCTATAGCCCATGCATTGACCATGATTTGCGATCCCTTTGGCACAACAAATCCACATATTTCCACATCTGCTCCCGCCTTGCGAGGAAGCAGCAGAGGAATCGCGGGGTGTAACCTGAAGGTCTCTTTGATTATAGACTGAAGATAGGGTAATCGAGAGATGTCTGACTCCCGAAGATGATTACCACTTCCGATCTTTTGGTCTAGTTCTTCCTTAGCTTTAGCGAGTATGTTGCGATTGCGAAGCAATTCTGTCATTGCCCATTCCAATGTGCTTGAAGTTGTATCTGTTCCAGCTACGAATAGATCCTAATAATATCACCAAACCAAATGTCAATCATTATTGGGAAAAACAATACTAATCCATAGCCATTGGTTCACAGATCATAGTGTTGAAATGGAAAAATATCAAGAATAGGTACACAATATTTTCTTTGTTTTTATTTTTTTAACATAGCACAATATTTTCTTTCTTTCTACCCCACAACCTGTGGATTTTCGTTGGACGGTCTTCCTTTCGTCAATAATAATACTCCTTTCCCATCGATTTGATGTTTAGAAATAGAATGGTCAAGTTTCACAATATACCATAATATTTTTACCGACTCGACTCAAAATAGGATGCATAATCTTAGGGTGCTTAACATGAGTAACTAAATCTGGATTCTTTTTTAAAGTGACTCCAGATCTAAGGGTTGTAAATTAAAGACATTTTATTTCCCCTATTTTTCTTAATCGGATAATATCTTTTTCATTCTAAATCGAATTTCAATTTTTTTCTGCACAGATGGAACGAGTTCGTTGTGCTCTACAAAATGAGATCCATTTTCAATATTTTTTGAGAATTTTTTTCTCTCCATATCTCCCGTTACCAACTCCATACCATATGGCATATGGTATCTCTTTCTTTTTTAGTCGTTTTCGGAAACTTTTGCACAGAAGGAACGATTGGGTTGGTATTTTTCATACGATATGGTATGATCTTATTTAATACCAGTCAAAGTGGATATCCTTTTGAAAAGCACAATTAATCTGATCTAACTGTGCAAAAAATTAAATTTTGACTTAAAACGAATGAGAAATCATCCGTTAAAGATTAAGAAGAGGAAAATTAAATGCATTTCAGGAGAGAGAATTGACACTCATATGACGGATTCTGATTGGGTTATGCATAGTTATCGACCAAAAAGTTATTGACAGAATCCGCTACGGCTCTCTACCGACTCCGTTACCTCGTGTTGTTTTAGATCTCTTACATATTTTCGTTGTCTATATTCTTTTCTTTTTTTTTTTATTTCAACGGAGAAATCTGTTAATGTGTTATTGTGAATATTTTCCTAAATACAAAAGATGAGGATGAACATGCATGCATCTAGCTCCTATTATTGACCTTGTCTTTTCCCCCTTTTGGAAGAGTCTAATTAATGAATAATGACCGTATTGATAAGGTATGCTAAAAAATCTAATTCAAGAGATATATTATTATCGAGATATCATTTAGAGACAAGTTGACATTGTTGAATTAATGAATTTTGTGTTCTATTTATTTTGGGTTTCTCCGACGTGAATCTGTACTCACGTTTGCATTGCTTCAGATTGAACACATTTAACTTGAAATCAAAATAAGTCTTGTTAGTTAACATTAGTTTTTATATAGCTCAACGAATTATAGAGAGAAAAAAAAAAAAACATTTTAAACTCACCAAAAATAAGTGTTTGATGCGAAGTGGATCCATAGCAGCCTCGCGGTTTCGATCATCTCCAATAGCCAGCAGCGTGTCGAGCATGTCGTTACCGGAGACGTAGCTCTCCGACTTCAGTTTCTCCAACCGATCGTCGATCACCGAACCAAACAGCCCCAAAACTTTCCCAAAGTGAGTCCTCATCCGCCTCTGTATCCCCTGCAAGTCCACTTTCGCGAGAACAGGGTAATAGTCACCCAAATTGGGCTTCCCCACTTCGTCCATAATCCCCCTGGCAACCTCCTTAAACTCCCTGGCCGTCTCCGATCCCTCATCGTCCGCCAGATCCAGCGACAGAATCGTCGACGAAAGAGCATTCAGACTGGCCCTGAACGCTTCTCTCCCGATATCCACCGCCTTTCCCTCTCGCGCATTTCGTCGAACATCTTCAAGGAGCTCTTCGATCTTCTTCCTGCGGAGCTCCTGGTTGGAATCCAGCTTCTGGGTAGTGAAGATGTAGGAGTTGCAGACCTTTCTGAGGTTCCTCCACTCGGATTCCATGGGGAGCCACGGCATGCCGAACCGGTGGTGGTCGTGGGCCTGTATGGCGAGGCCGAGGTGGCGGTTCGATAGGACGTGGTCGTGCTTTTGGAGGATCTCTCTGGCTACGGCAGGGGAGGAAGCGACTATGGTGGTCACCTGGCCGAGTTTCAGGCTCATCAAGGGCCCGTGGATCTTGGCTAGATCGGCTAGTGATTTGTGGGGCTGGTCGCCCAGATTGTGGAGGTTGCCTATGATTGGAAGCCTGGCCGGGCCCGGCGGGAGTTTGGGCCGTGTTTTGTGTGGTTTTCTGGTCAGGAAATAGAGGATGGTGAGGGTTAGGATGAGGCAGAGTAAGGAACTGAGGTAGAGGTCCATTTCGATCTCTGGTTGCTTGATCGGTTTCAGCTTGAAAAGATAATAGAGAGACAGAGAAAGAAGATTTGGTGATTGCGAAGATCCCTCTTCTGACGTCTGGCGGCTGTATGTAAAGCAAGAGGAAATGGTGCCCTAAGATAAGAGTAGTGATAATGCAATGTACGACAGCTCAGGAAGGGTATATATATAGACTCAGCTAGAGGAAATTATGAGACTGTATATTATAATAATATAATGGATGGTCATATTTTTTATTCGAAGGAGGGCGAAGTCGACAAAGGGTTCTAACGCATTAAAAATTGGATTGCAACTTGCAAGGGATTATGAGTCATTCGTTTTCCTTGGGTCAATGACCATATATCGGCTAGGTTCTTCTGCACATGTAAAAGCTTTTTTTTTTTCGTTGAATATGTAAAAGCTTTTTCGTGAGATTGTTAATTACTATATTTATGTTGTTTAGAATGTATCTGTTTATTTTTTATTTTTTTCCACACACAATATGTAGATTGTATCTTTAGTGTGATATAATTATAAATTATCATTCGAATGGGTAATTGTTATATAACCTGTATATTAGAATACATGTATTTATAACAATAAATTTTTTTTTATAAGAATGATATAAGTTTAGTTTTAAAATTATGTACTATTGAAGGGATTCGAACTTTGGACCACCAGGTCAAAGACTAATTGTTTATCCGGTAGACCAATCTCTTGTTCGTCAACAATACATCTATTTAAAAATCACAATTTCCAAGCAACCCATGTGAGAGAGGATCCAAATAGCTATAAAAAAAAAAGATCGAGATTGTGCAAACGAAATGTGTGCAACGGTTTGGTCTGGGTGGCATGGGACCAAATTGACATTTTGGTCGGACCATACCAAACCAAATATAATACGGTCCAATTCTTTGTCCCACAAATTTTATAAATATTGAAGACAAAAAAAACGAATTATGATTTAGACCGACTCAAATCAGATCAAACTATAATGAGTGCAATCATTGTCCAATCGTTGATTCTAATATCTCTTATATCATTGGACCGCAATTTTCACATGTTACGTATCAAACCGGACCATTCCACACCCTAGCAGATAGTATCCAGAATGAAGGTGGTTTTGACATCAATTGATAATCATACCATTTAGGGAGTTGCATATTGCCGTGAGTCTTCATTTCACATTATTAAATCATGGAAAATCGAGTGATAAAGCATGATATGAGCATGCTCTTGTTTCAGAAGATAACATAATTGGTTGTTGGTGGATGAGAGAGAGGGGGTTGTTGTCTGGAAAATACGACAATTGGAATCGAGCGGCAAAGTGAGAAGTTAAACAATTATGTTATGAACCTATCGGGAAAAAATCCCACCTACACATGTTCTTAAAAAAATTCACAAAATACATAAGTTATAAATTTTTTTTCCAAAGTACATATGTTTGGCATTCACCGTTTTTGACAAACGCAGTGAAGACTATCACCGCATTTGACAAAGACGGTGAATATTTCACCGTTGAAAAAAAACGGTCACGTATTCTCCGTTCTTCTCTAACACGGTGAACAACGAGCGAGTCAATCACCGTTTTAGAGGCAAACGGTGAACAGATCACCGTTTTACTGAAACGCGGTGTATATTAAACTGTTTCTGTAGGCCACGATGAAGCGACGCGGATCACTGACGTGGACAAACATGGTGAATACCCCGTGTTTGTTTGCGTCAGCAATCCGCGTCGCTTTTCCTTTCACCGCCTTTGTCTTAAACGGTGAACAACATCACCGCGTTTGTCTCAAACGGTGAACATTAGGTAGTTGTGACCTAATTTTCACCTACCAGGGTTGGGAAACGTGGGAAATAATCACCGCCTTAGCCTGAGGCGGTGAAGATGTTCCCCGCTTTATCCTAAGATGGTGATGTTTTAACCGCTTTTAACTTAAACGGTGATGTCTTCACCGTTTTGACAAACACGGTGATTATATTCACTGCGTTTGTCAAAAACGATGAATGCCAAACATGTGTAATTTTGAAATTTTATGTATTTTGAGGATTTTTTTAAGAACTAGTGTACTTTAGGATTTTTCCACCTATCGGTAGGTCAATCAGACCACGAAAATAATGTAGAAAGAAATACGACACACTCCACAGAGAGCTGTAGTTGACACAGTCAATATTATTATCACCGAAAATCCTTAACCCTTACTCATGATCGTCCCCTGTATGTTAAGACGTACTTCTTTTGTTCCCTGTTTTTGTGTCATTTAAAATACGTAGACATACTGACTCTGCCCTTCTTCTTTTGGGTGTATTGTGAGGGTGGATGTGATGAGGAAATTAGCCTGTTCCTTCACAGAGGAAGCGTTGACAAAGATGTCATCACACAGCTGCAAGGGAAAGAAACTGGCCTACGAGACCATGGCGACCTCATACCCTCTGGCGTGTGACGGCTGATGCCAAGGCTTTGATGGCCATAGACCTCTATGAAATCGCTAAGAAACATGGATTGTTGCCTCTTTGAGGCCTGATTCCCTGGTTGTTTGTTGCTGTACAATCCTTCCAGACCTTGATACACCAAATGAGCCATCAACGGTTTATTATAGATCTATAGTTGGCAAGGCAAGCCTAAATAGGCCTCCATTGCACTTGTACACATCGTGTAAACGATATCGCAAGTGTTGTAAACCTGGCAAGTGAAAGATACAGAAATCATACAAAAGAGCTGCACGACGGCATTTTTCATTAGACTTTGCTCGCCACAAAATCTTTATCACTAGATTCCCAAATGGTTGTTCCATCACAAGTGCATAGCTTTTTGTAGTTCTCTCCGACTCCAGCACTTCTAGCAATGACAGCTGCTGTCAAGCCTGCATCTGATTTGTCTTCGGTTTCGTACACTGCTACAGATCTGCCAATCAGATCAACGACGCGTAGCTTTTGTTTGGCACCAGAGAAGAAGGCATTCCCCTTCTCATCGGCTTCTAATGTTCTCAGGTCACCAAGCGGCTTTAGACAAACAAAAAGATCGTCTCCGTTAGAAAATGAGTTGAAAGCATTAAGGGCAATGGAGCAATAAACAAGCTGTATAACATAATATCATTCAGTTATGTAATGTTATCCAAACCTCGTTTCCAGAGCTCTCATTTGGAGGATTAAACACCTTTCCTGTGCTGGCTGCACCATTTGTGAGGTCACCGAACTCGTTGATGGACCATCCGTGTTTTCCAGGTGACAACCCACTGAAATTGGCTTCAATCCTAGCTAATTCCATGTTCACTTGAGCAAAGCGAACTACTCCAAAGATATCTGGGCCTTTGAATTCCGCAACAGCAGCAGACACCAAAAAGTCTGGCACAATAGAAATATGCCACTATGATTAACAGTTGAATCAACGAATGAAGGACTTCAAATGATGTAACAGATATAAGCATCCCATATCAAGGATAATTAAAAGAGAGAAGAAATCACAAGCAATTATGATGAGCACTAAAGCCTTTTGCCTGAAATGTACAATTGGACAATCATTTGAATTCACTGAACAGCAAGATAACTAGATTCCTGGCTTCTGCAACTTGATACTTTCAAGTTGACACTATCTTCTATTTGTAACTCACAACTTTCGCATAAATGTACAAGCTATGACATGTCTTAAATCTAACATTGGACAATCAATCATTTGAATTCACTGAACAGCAATATAGCTAGAGTCCTATCTTCTGCAAGTTGATACTTTCAGGTTGACTGCTATCTTCTATTTGAAACTCACAACTATCCCATCAATGTAAAACCTATGATATGTATTCAATCTTGCTGACAAAATCCTTCAGCTACTTTGGCAAGCACCTATACTATGACACAGCGCTTTAGACATGTGTAAACTATCTGGGCAGTAGGAACAACTGAGGTTTACCAATAACCATTTAAACAAAACGAGGAATTACCCAAATCTGCAAACTCTAGTGAAACCAGATTGCTCTTCAGTCGCCATTTAAGAATCAAACAGCTGTTCAGTTGACCTACCTTCAGGAACTCCCTGGCCGATTAGTCGGGCATTTCGACTGGTTTGCTTCAAAGCTTCAGTCATCTCCTTCACAGACGAAGAGCCAAGAACCCTAACCACTTGATTGCTTAAATCCACTTCCACATTCTTTACGCCTGAAAATACTCATCCCATTCATATAAATGCAAAAAAATCAACCCAAATCCAAATGACCCCTTCTATATCAATCTGCTATTCTTTATTCCTCAAAGAACTTACCTTTCAAAGTCTGCAACTTGTTCTTCACTGACTTAACACACCCTTCACAGCTCATATCCACCATGAATTCCGTCTGTCAATCATGTCAAGAACAACAATTCGATTCCATTCAGAAAAATATTGCAAATTGAAAATCCCTAGCCCAGGCACTCTAAGTTCTACTAAAATTGAAAATCGGAAATGAATTCGGGCGAGAAAAAAAATGTTGCAACTTACAAGAAGGTCAGGGAGCAAGTCGCCATTTTCCTGCGATGATGACAGAGAGATTAAAGTTTCGATCTTTAGGGATACAAATTGAAAAAATTCAATACAGAAACAGATAGATTGTTTTCATAGTTAGAACCTGAGAGGTTGGTTGGTTGTGATCGGAGGTGGGTGCGTCCATGGTGACGGCAGTGAGAGGCTGCGTCCGATGATTGAGAAGGCTAAAAGGAGCCGGAGAGAAAGCAAAGGAGGTGGAAGAAGAAGAAGAGAATGAAATGAAAGTAGGTTTGAGGGTTTTGGTACTTGGGGACGGAAAGAGAGTGAAAGCTGTAGGAGTAAGAAGAGCAGAGGCTGCTATGGCTGTCTTGGTTGCTGCCGCTGAATGCAGAAGAAATGCCATTATTATGGTGGGAGAATAGATTCACAGAGTCGCACCTCCATTACCCAAATCCTTATTAATTTTTCTTTCGTCTTCGGCAGACTTTCTGGAGGCTTCTGACTTATTTTGGTTATCTTTTTTCTCTCTGTCTTTTTTTATTAATATATTCAATTTTTTTTTATCTATAATTTGATGGCCTTAATTATGCACCAAAATTATGAAATTGACCAAACCCAAAATTTGACCATTATCTTAGATGGTCAGTAGGGGTGTGCAACGGGACGGGACGAAATACTCGTTCCGTTTGAAACGGGTACCCAATCCCGTTTAGAGAGCAAAGTCCATCCCATCTCCCAAACCCATAAAGGTTAACGGGTACCCGTTACCCGTACGGGACGGATAACGGGTACCCAAACTACCCGTTTATACCCATTTAGCAGGGTAACAATTACAATGCTAAACCTGCAAGTGAAAAAAATGTATAGTTGTTGTCCGAATAAAAAAAGAAGAAGAGAACCTGGGAAGTAGGGGTGGACATTGGTTTGACCGAACCGCACCAAACCGTACCAAACCGCATTTACGGTCAATCCAAACCGCACCAATAAGATTGCGGTCTGAATGTGGTTTGCTCATAAAACGGTTAACGGTTTAGCGGTCGGTCGCTTCCAAACCGCGCGGTTGCGGTTTGAAACTGCAAACTGTTAAGGTTTTTTTCAAATCGTTCGTAGAGAGAAAAGAAAGGGATTTCATTTATCATTGATCATCTCAGAGCGACGGCCATGTCAAGAATCAGTTGGTCCCAATAACTCGAGTTGTTGGGAGAGGTTCAATCGTTGATCATATACCACAATACTAGCACGCCCCCTCAAACGAAAGCCACTCACAAGGGCTTGAAGTTTGCACAGGTCTGAAGACAAGAATATCATGTGCTTCACAAATGGGGGTCACCGGGAATCGAACACAAGACCTCTCGGTCACAGAAGGCTCTGATACCAGGTTAATTATACGAACACACGAATACGAGAGAGAAGAGACACGGATTTACGTGGTTTCCTTGACGAGTATCGTCAAGACTAGTCCACGGCACAAGGCAGAGATCAATCTTTATTTTCTGTGTTTCCTTACGTAGGTTAGCCATCACAACATATATATATACTCGGCCAACCTACAACCCTAATCCCAGCTCACGTCACTTATATGTACAATTACGCCTGAAGTTTTGGGTTTCGTGGATTTGTGCGTCTGTTCTGCTATTCGTGTGTCTGTTTGGGGTTTATACAGCGGCTGTTCCTTGTTCAGCGTACCTGGAAATTTTGGGTGTGTTGTTTCTCGGTTGTATTGTTTTTGGGATTGATTCTTGAGGTTGGGTGCTGTGCGATCTTTTGTTCATTGTGAAGGGGCTGTGTGCTTTTGTTCGGAGGTCATGGAAGGATTTAAATCTGATGTTGTAGGGGTTCGCTTTAACGGCAAGAATTATGCACTATGGGAGTTCCAATTCAGGCTCCATGTGCAAGGGCGCCGATTGTTTTCGTTTCTGGATGGGACTGCTCTCCCACCCGCGGCTGATGCCGCTGCTAAGGAACGGGACGATTGGGCCGCCAACAATGCTACGGTGATGTCTCTGCTGTTGGGATCGATGGAGCCTGGAATTGCTCTTAGCTTACGCGGTCTGCCTGCGGCGGCAGCGATATGGAAGCATATGGCCGATCTGTACTCGAAGGCGAGCGCCTCTCGCAAATATGATATCGAAGTTGATATGGCGGCGCTGAAACAAGGAGAGCTGGATATTAGTTCATATTGTCAGGAGGCAATGACGTTGTGGACGGAGCATGACCTGATCATGAGCTCTCTTGTTCCAGCGGCGGCGACGTCGGATGTTCTCAAAGAGAGGGCTGGCTCGCGCGTTATGCATTTCCTAATGAATCTTCGGGCTGAGTTCGAGGGGATTAGGGCTTCACTACTGCATCGTGATCTATCTACCATTGAGGATGTTTTACCTGAGCTTCTTCGCGAGGAGACTAGGTTAAAGAGTCAAGCTAAGCTTGACATTCATGCTTCCGATCCTGGCGCGGCATTTGCGGTGCGTCAAGGTCGTCCACAGTTCGCTCGCACTCCATCGGGCGTGATCATATGTCACTTTTGTAAAGAGCCGGGTCACATTCAATTTCACTGCAAGAAAAGGAACAATTGCAATTATTGCAAACTTGATGGCCATCTCATCACCGACTGCCCAACATTGGCGCAGCGGGGTCGTCATCGCAATGCTGCCGGGAATTCTCGTTATCGTGGTAGCTCGCGTCCCCGACCTGCTGGTGGCGCCTATGCAACTACTGTTGCTGAAGCTTCCTCGCCTGGCATGTCCCCAGAACATGTTCGGAAGCTTGTTCAAGAGGCGTTGAAGGAGGCCTTCGCATCGGGTATGCATTCTTCCTTTTCTAGTACTTGGCATTTAGACTCAGCAGCTTATAACCATATGACCAGTGATCGTCGTCTGTTTGCCGAGCTTAGTTCCTCTACTCCGGCCCTTGATTTACAAGCTGCTGATGGGTCTCGTATGCACATTAATGGGTTTGGTCGTGTGGTTCAGCCCCATATCTCTCTCCCTAATACATTATACGTTCCTAAGCTCGTTCCCAACCTAGTCTCGGTCGGTCAATTAGCTGAAGACGGGTGCCGTGTTATGTTTGATGAGGCTGGCTGTGTTGTGCAGGACCAGAAAATGGGAGTGGAGATCGGGCGGGGGAGTAAGAAGGGTCGGGTTTATCTGTTGGACAGCATCTCGAAGATAGGAGGGGAGGCCGAAGGCTGCTCTGGGCAAGCGACTGAAGTTAGCATGAAGAGTTTAGTTGATGCGTCTGGCAGTAGTAATATTATTTCATGTTCTGGTTTTTCAGCGGAATTATCAAACTGGGATTTGTGGCATTTTAGACTGGGTCATCCCCATTCAGCAAGACTTCGTACTATGTTTGATAATCATTGGTTGTCGGGATCTATTTCTGGGAATAATTCACATGAGTGTGTTCATTGTTTACAAGCTAAGATTTCGCAGAAGTCGTTTACTGCTAGTGATACAATATATGCTGAACCTTTTGAGTTAGTTCACACTGATTTGTGGGGGCCGTCACCAGTGACATCGCGACTGGGTTTTCGTTATTTTGTATTGTTTGTTGATCAAGCTACCCGGTTTACCTGGGTGTACTTCTTACGGCAGAAGTCAGAACTGTTGACAGTAGCTCGAGAATTTGTGCAGATGGTGTCGACTCAATTTGGTAAGGTGATTAAGATCTTGCGCTCAGATCCGGGAGGAGAATTTTCTTCACATTCACTCATGGCCCTATTCAGAGAACGTGGCATACTACAACAACTATCGTGTCCTGGAGTCTCTCAGCAGAACGGACTGGTCGAACGGAAGCATTGTCACGTTCTTGAGCTTACCCGAGCGATATTAATTCATTCACAGGTACCATCCGGATTTTGGGTCGAGGCAGTTCATACGGTGGTCTATCTCATTAATAGACAAATCACCACGACTCTCCAGCAACGAAGTCCGTATCAAGCTCTTTATTCCCGTCTACCTAATTATGGATGGTTGCGTGTGTTTGGGTGCATATGCTATGTGTTGGTATCTCGGCGGGAGCGAACTAAGCTCACTCCTAAAGCAGTTAAATGTGTGTTTATCGGTTATAGCGATAAGCACAAAGGCTACGTCTGCTATGATGTTGCCAAAAGACGAGTCCGAATATCATGTCATGTTAAGTTCCTAGAGCATCAATCATATTATGGGACGTCGAACACCTACCCAACCGGTTCGGAACTTGACTTCTTGGCTGACTTGGCCTCTTGATATATAGAATGTATCGGCAGACCCTCCAAATGACCCAGGTGATGATGACCATGGCCAAGATTCACCCCTTTCCGCCGCCTCAGACTCTTCACCCAGCACACACTCGTTCGTTTCTTCCTCGGCGGATGATGGGTCCTCTACCTCGTCACATTCGCCAACTACCTCAGCAACATCATCTTCGTCCTCTTCTTCCAGGTCAGCGTCCTCACCAATTCCCTTTGAGCTGGCCGAACAAGTTGAGGAGCCCATTCTTCGCCGCTCTACCCGTGTTACCAGAGGTAAACCACCGGCCCGTCACAATGATTTTCTAGCCTATTCCACATCCTCCATACATGTGCCAGCAACATACAAACAAGCTAAAGGAGTTGAGCGGTGGGAGAAGGCCATGGACGTCGAGAAAGATGCTCTTGAAGCGTCACTTATGTGGGATCTAGTGGAGCGCAAACCTGGTATGTCAGTTATCGGTTGCAAGTGGGTATACACTCTTAAGATGTTGCCCGAAGGTACTGTGGAACGAGAAAAAGGCAAGGTTAGTGGCTCAAGGGTTTCGACAAGAGTACGGGGTTGATTATGAAGAAACCTTTGCACCAGTAGCAAATATGCAGACGGTCCGAAGTCTATTGGCAGTGGCAGCAATGAAGAAATGGCGGTTATTGCAGTTAGACGTGAAAAATACATTCTTACATGGCGATTTAAAGGAAACCATCTACATGGAACGTCCACCGGGCTATACACGGGGTGACAATACTATGGTTTGTCGTCTACGTCGCTCATTGTACGGGCTTAAACAAGCTCCCAGGGCATGGTTTGAGAAGTTTCATGCCACCATTGTTCAAGCTGGTCTTGTACAGAGTGAGAATGATCCGTCACTCTTTCTTCGGTCCACTAGTAGAGGTCTTACGGTACTTCTGATCTATGTAGACGACATGGTGGTGACTGGTGATGATAGTGTTGGTATTGACGACTTGTTACTGGTTCTGCGCTCGGCTTTTAATCTCAAGGAACTTGGGGATCTCTCTTACTTCCTTGGACTGGAAATTCATCGTTCTCCTGAAGGCCTTCATGTTGGTCAACGAAAGTACATTGTAGACTTACTTGAGGAAGCTCAAATGGATGATTGTCTCGCCTGTAATACTCCCATGGAGCAGAATCTTAAACTACGGCAGTTGGAGGGTGAATTACTACCGGATGGCTCACTATATCGGAGTATTGTGGGGAGTCTCATTTATCTGACACATACTAGACCTGATATATCGTATCCTGTACAGATTGTGAGTCAATTCATGTCAGCTCCACGCAAGCCTCACTGGATGGCTGTTCAGAGAATTTTGAGATGTCTGCGAGGTACCCAGGAGGTCGGACTGTTATTCCCAACCGAAGGGAAGCCAATTCTTGAAGCTTATTCAGACGCTGACTATGCAGGTTGCCAAGACACTCGTCGGTCTACCTCTGGGTGGTGCATAAAGATCGGTAATTCATTTATCTCTTGGAGGTGTAAGAAACAGGATCGAGTATCCAAGTCATCTACTGAAGCTGAATACCGTTCCATGAGCGAAGTGTCCTCTGAAATTGTTTGGCTGCGCAGGTTATTGGCAGAGCTCGGAGTTATTTGTCAGGGTCCAGTTCGACTGTTTGTTGACAATACGAGTGCAATTCGTATTGCAACTAACCCAGTGCTACACGACAGGACAAAGCATATTGAAGTGCACGTTCATTATATTCGTCAGCTTGTAGCTGAAGGCATTGTGGATCTTACCTACGTCACGTCCGAAGACCAGACTGCTGATCTTCTGACTAAGGCTGTGTCTACTCCTCGTCACTGGTTCCTAGCACACAAATTGATGTTGCGACAGCTACATCAATTTGAGGGAGGGTGTTAGAAGTGTAGGGACCAATTTGTAATTGTACATATAAGTGACGTGAGCTGGGATTAGGGTTGTAGGTTGGCCGAGTATATGTATATGTTGTGATGGCTAACCTACGTAAGGAAACACAGAAAATAAAGATTGATCTCTGCCTTGTGCCGTGGACTAGTCTTGACGATACTCGTCAAGGAAACCACGTAAATCCATGTCTCTTCTCTCTCGTATTCGTGTGTTCGTATAATTAACAGGCCATCCTTCCGCTTTCGAGCTTGCTAGAGCTGGCCGCAGTTCCGCTCTCGATCCGTCTAGAGATCGATAGCCGCGCTTCCGCTTCGAGATGTCTGCTGATTCAGCATGTCTCAAATCTTTACCTTCCTCTCCCGTTTCCATTGCACCTCCACCAAGACTGCAATCGAGCCACCGAGTGAGAAAGAGATTTGTGCGGCCATTTTGTCAAATTCTGAGATGCCCATAAAAAAGTTGGAAACTTGTTCATGTCAGTATCCTCCCAAAAACAAAAGTCATGCTTTTCCCCATTAGAGATCTAAACTAGCTAGCAAATGACCATGTGAGAGCTTGCCGTTTTATTAATTAATTGATTGAGTGTAATGACCATGTCAGAATCTGAACTTTCTTTTATGCACTATACTCATTTACATTTTTTTGGTAGACATACTCATTTGCTTTGTTGTTGTTTAATCATCCTCTTCTTGTGCTCTGTACGCAGAGATCCGGCCAAAATCAGTCTCTCCTCAATTAGGTTGCTGCTCAAATGAATAGATGGGTAGTCGAAGAATGAACTCCCTCGCTAACTGGTGTCTGTAATGGTTTATTGTTTTCCTTTCGGCATAATGGGTGCTCTGTTTTTGTGACAGAAACAGAGTAGGATTGCTCTATTTCGGTGACAGAAACAGAGTCATGTTGTTTAATAAATTACAAATCATATTGAATTGTGATCAAGATGCGGTGCGGTTCAAACCGCACCAAACCGCTAATTTATGCGGTTTGGTTTGACCGCACCGATATCTTCTCGGTCGAATATGCGGTGCGGTCCAATTAAAATGCGGTGCGGTTTATATCAATGCGGTGCGATGCGGTTCAAACCACACCAATGCCCACCCCTACTGGGAAGGAGCTTTAGAGAGTAGACAATTTTCCTCATAATTCCAGCAGGTCAAACTATTTAGAGTTCTCGTCTCTTCCTAGAAAAATACTAAAGTAGTAAACTGTAAAAGACTCTATCACATAAACCTATTTTGTTCCATATCCTACTAACAAAAGGCAACCGATTTTAGTAATTCCTCACGGTGACAAGTGTTGATAGCAACAAATGTATGATTGGGCGGGTAGTACGGGTACCCATAATACTCAAACGGGTATTAACGGGTAACCTGTGGGTACCCATTATAAAATTTCTTCATCCCAAATCCCATCCCGTAAAAAAATTACAGGTATTTGGGTATCCGTAACCCTTAAAAAACGGGACGGGTATGAGTATACCCATATACCCATTTCCCGTTGCCCACCCCTCATGGTCAGACCTATTAACTAACAATCAACGCACTAGTTCACTTGCTCATTGCCAAATCAATAGAGATACTCAAAATATTTGATTTTTTCTACCTATTACCATTTATTTTTAATGTCTTTTCCTTTATCTTTTTTCCACCTATTACTAGGACCAACACTTTTTTCCGCCTATTATGTAATCGGTACCCACGGCGGATTCAGGGTCTGCCACTGGGTCACGGTCCAGTCCTCTCCTGAATTCAAAGCTAGTATAATCCTTGTAAATTTTCAAATTTAGATATTCGTTTTAGTACTTATAGGATTACGATCCAATCCTTTTCGCCTCTTTTTAAATGTGGGCCAGTATTCTACCCATTCCTCAATCCCCTTCTTTCTTGAATCGCCGGAACTTGAATCACCGGTACTTGCGCAGGAATACGAAAACTGCCCCAAATCTTGCCGGCCGGCCAGAACACTCCAATGGCTCAGCTACGTACTTCGTCGTGATAGCTTTAACGTATACCCTCACGTAAATACATACACAGACGAAAAACAAACCTAGGCTACTACTTAACTTTCCAGATTTTCATCATTGTCCAATTAATGAATGTCCACGCTTTGTGATCTCCCTACTTTCCATTTTTGGCCGTCTCATTATTTTGTTTTCTATTAGGAGAGAAACAACCAATACAAAGACAAATTCTATTATGATAGGAACAAGATATGTATAGAGGAGTACAATACTACTTTCTAAGTAAATCCTATCAGCTCCAAACTAAATTATTTTGCATTCAAACAAGGAAATAGCTAGCCCACAGGTGCTATAGAATTTGAAGGGGAGAAAAGACTAGTAAAATAAGAATGAACCTGCTACAATAAATCTAAAACTCGAAGTTAATCAACTAAGCTACAGAGTAGTGTTTCCTTCCCCCACTGCGAACTATATATTTCCAGCTAGCTAGCTCGCTCCCCAAAAACCGAACTGTGCACCATTTAACAAAGATGAGTACCGTTACCATGACCCAACTTCTTCAAAACTTAACTTCTTCTCTTCTACTAATTATGATCACTACCCTCTTTTTACTCTCCTCCGGCTTATCGGAACAAGCTGTTTCCGGTGACGGAGAGTTGAAAACTTACATGGTCCTTTTGAGACGACCGGAAGGTGCAGCGTTTTCTCTCCAATCAGACGATGACGGGGACGAGTGGTACCATTCATTCTTGCCTCCAAGTACTGCTTCAGATGGACCGCGGCCGTTGGTCCACCGTTACCGGCACGCGGTGACGGGGTTCGCCGCCGAGCTGACGGCGGAAGAAGTGAAGGCGATGGAAACGAAAGAAGGGTTCGTGAGAGCCTGGCCGGACAAGACTCTGTCTCTGGCCACCACGCACAGCCAGGAGTTCATGGGATTGCACCAAAACGCTGGCGTTTGGAAGTCCACTAACTACGGCAAGGGAGTAATTATTGGAGTTGTGGACACAGGAACAACGCCAGGTATATGTTTAATTAATTTTAATTACTTGGTCGTTACACCTCATTTCTTATACCTGACCTCATTTGAAATCAAGGATACATATTTGGTTAATTATGCAACTTACTTAACCAAACCTAAGAATCAAAATATTTTATGGTCTGGTAGTATAACAACTTTCAATCATTCACCGAAAACCATAAAAACCATAATCGTATTGTTTGTTTGCTCAATAATCAATGACATGAATCATACTACTTCCAACTATCTGATGGTACAAACGATTGTATTTTTCTTATTTAAATTTTCTAACCTAATCTTAGCAAGCCTTGGATATTGTGGTAATCATACTACTTCCATTGATTGATGGATAATTATGGCGGGAAAAAAACTCACATAATTTACCCAAATGTAACCATGATTTACAGGTCACCCATCATTTAGCGACGAGAACATGCCTCCGCCGCCGGCAAAATGGAAAGGTAAATGTGAGCTCGCCTACGGCTCCACTTGCAACAAAAAGCTAATTGGGGCGCGTAACTTCTACGCGCCGGGAACTCCCATGGCCGACGACGACAACGGCCACGGCACCCTCACTTCGAGCATAGCAGCGGGCAGCCCGGTCAAAGGCGCGAGTTTGTTTGGGCAGGCGAACGGGACGGCCGTCGGCACCGCACCGCTGGCCCACGTGGCCGTCTACAAGGCCTGCAGCGCCGACGGCAAGTGTCCTCAGAGCGCCGTGCTTGCCGCGATCGACGCCGCCGTGGAGGACGGCGTCGACGTGATTTCGCTCTCCATGGAAGCCGATTCGGCCCCCTACTACGAGGACCCAATGGCGATTGGAGCGTACGGGGCGATTCGGAAGGGAGTTTTTGTGAGCTTCGCAGCTGGAAACGGCGGCCCGGGCGCCGGCACCGTCGTGAATGATTCGCCGTGGGTTCTGACGGTCGGAGCGAGTACGATTAACCGGAAAATCAAAGCGACGGTGCTATTGGGTAATAACGCGGAGCTGGTAGGCGAGTCCCTTACACAGCCTAGCGATTTCCCTTTGACGTTGTTGCCGCTCATTTACGCCGGCTCCGGGACGAATGCATCTTCTGCTTTCTGCATTCCAGGTTGGTATCATAACACAAGTTCTTTTTTTTTTTTTTTCGTAGGCAGTAGCTTGAAATACACCATCAAATATGATAGTGGACAAATAGTCGAACTATTAACCAAAGAATTCTTTTAACCACTAGGTAGGTATTTTTGTTTTTTTCGTAGAAAAAAATAAAAAAAAGCTGGATAGTCAGTCATATGAATTTTTTCAAGCAGTGCACCTACTTTTTAATATTATATTCTCTAAAAAGATTGTTGATTTATGTTAAGGAACTTATAATAGCTCGAGATCTTCAAGTTAAAAATCGATATTTATTCCATGATTTGGATTTATATTAGTAAATAATGATTTGATCTAGTGATAATATTATTAGTTTTGAACATGGAAGTGTTTATTTTCAAATCTCTTAGTATCTAACTAGTGAGCACTAAAGCATAAGGATTTTCCATTACAATCTTCTCTAATCATTTCTTTTTGTCTCATACCAGGATCGTTGAAGAGCATGGACGTTAAGGGGAAAATTGTGTTATGTACCAAACTCAATGGCAGTAACAGAGCAACAAGAATTGCCGCCGGCCAAGAAGTGAAAGACAACGGCGGGGCCGCCATGATCCTAATGAACGAGCAAGTAGGTGATTCAGTGACTAGACCCGACCCGCACGTGCTCCCGGCATCACACGTGAGCAACGACGCCGGATACTTCATCAAAACCTACATAAGGTCAACGCCGTCGCCGACGGCCACCATTGTGTTCAAAGGCACCGTGCTGCTGGTCCCGGACGCACCCCAACTCGCCATGTTCTCATCGAGAGGCCCAAGCCCACAAACTTCTGGGATATTGAAACCCGACGTTATTGGGCCCGGGGTGAACATCCTGGCGGCTTACCCAACATCACAGGAAAATACCCAGAATACCCCCTTCGCTATGGCTTCGGGGACTTCGCTGTCTACACCTCACCTGAGTGGAGTTGCTGCCCTTGTCAAAACCGCTCACCCTGATTGGTCACCTGCAGCCATCAAATCCGCCATCATGACAACGACATATGTACTAAATCCCGACAACAAAGGTATCGTCGACGAAGATTTCCAGACCGTAGGGTGTTTCGATATGGGTGCGGGTCATGTCAACCCGGAGAGAGCGATCCACCCGGGTTTGGTTTACGATATTGAACCGGAGGATTACGTCGGCTTTATGTGTGGTTTGGGTTACAATGACACGGAAGTTAGCGTTGTTGTGAATCGTGGAGTAAGCTGCTCGAACCGGTCTAGCATTACTGCTTCTCAATTGAATTACCCATCGATTTCGGTCACGTTGGGTTGGACCTCACAGACTTACACGAGGATCGTGACGAATGTTGGAGTGGCGAACTCGTCTTATCGGGTCAACATTGTCAAGCCGGAGGGTGTATATGTCAAAGTAAAACCCACCATACTCGTGTTTCAAGAATTGAACCAGAAGTTGACGTATTCGGTCACGTTTAACAGGAAGCAAGGAGTCATGAGATCTCGTGCACTGGCACAAGGCTCGATGAGTTGGTTTTCTTTCAGTGGATTTGTGGTTACAAGTCGAATCACAGTCCTTTGAATACTGACCAATTGATTCATGATATATACTGGGGTTGTAGAATTTGCCTTTCCGACGTGCTTGTATTTGCTAAGAACAACTTTTAGATATTCGTGCACGTTGTATCGATTGGTTTTTATGCAATGAATGTATCATTTGAAGTGGTTAGAAATGTTGAGGGCAAGTAATTTTGATTGAATAAAATCATGATGTATTTGGGTTCTATATGAGTTTGATTAATAGATTCTAGCATTATTTTTAATCACAAATTATTTTACGTGATTTAGATATATAGAACATTCATTGACAAATCAGTGGAGATCATGCTTTCATGCCCGAGCTTAGTGCGGTCTAGAGGTGGTATTTGGTTGGTGGATTCAAGCCTAAACATTTTTAACATCTGAAGTGATTCGTTTGAACTTTGCAAATCCATCAGCTTAGCTCCCATGGCTTGGCATTTTAGTGGTCTATATGACTTTATCACGATAGGAACGATGTTATATAATATCACTAACACATTGCCTTACTGGAACTAACATGTTTCCTAACATGGTATTAAACTCTTCTGTAATTGAGAGGTATTTTGTTTGAATTCTGATAACTAGCTCCCTTTAGCTCTCACTGATAAGTACATGACGTCTGATATACTTGTGTAAACTTCAAGTCTATATGAGTGGTTTTCGGTTGAAAAAGTGTTTGTATGTGACATTAGATTCATAATCCGATCTCTTCCAACAACTCAAGTCACTGAGATCAACCTGTTCTTGACAAGATCCAAATTTGAGACTAAATCTTCTCTAAAATGTCAGTTTAATGACACGGAAGTTAGCGTTGTTGTGAATCGTGGAGTAAGCTGCTCGAACCGGTCTAGCATTACTGCTTCTCAATTGAATTACCCATCAATTTCGGTCATGTTGGGTTGGACCTCACAGACTTACACGAGGATCGTGACGAATGTTGGAGTGGCGACTAGGACTATTAGAGATTCTGTAAGTATTGGCACTGGTTTATCTAAACATCCCTCTCTCTCTGTTTTAGCCCCACCCTTAATGCAAAAGAAAAAGGAATTTTCCACACAATCTTCTCACTTGACCAGACAGCAGAGTCAAGGAGACTTGCATTTGGAGAAACAGCAGCACGCGGAAAGTAGTCAGCCAACAACACTCATGGGATCCAAACGTAAGGGAGGAGTTACGGTGCTAATTGTACAATAGTTAGCACCGTCCTAACCAAGGGAAAAACTACTACTAGTTTGAATTAGTAGTGATTTAGTTTAGATGTTGTATTGATTTTATAATAATCCGTAGTGATTTCGTTATTTTTAGTAGCGTTTTTTTTGCTAGTTATCACGGTGCTAACCCCTATAAGGGTTAGCACCTAATCTCATCCCCGTGCGAAAGAGAAACAACATTACCCGGACCAGGATCAATACTTGCCCCTCTCCAAAACAAGACACCCACCTTGAAAATGTTAGCCCAAACAGAGCTATTAAACCCTTCCTCGATCTTTCTAGTTTTCCATTCTGAAACAGGGCTTGAATACTTCACATTAATAAGCAGTCTCCACCAACTCCCTCTTTCGGCTGTGTATTTCCATAACCACTTGCCAAGTAAAGCATTGTTGAAACATTCAAGATCGACCACTCCCAATCCACCCTTTTGTTTCGAGGCTTTGCAAAGATCCCACCTGGCCAAATGAAACTTGTTCTCCACACCCCACCACTCCAAAGGAACCTTCTTTGAATCTTCTCAAGGGTGTTAATCACTGTTCTAGGTGCTTTTAACAAAGTGAAATGATAAACTGACAGGCTGTTGAGAGTAGATTGATTCAAAGTTAACCTGGCACCCAAAGAAAGGAACTTGCTCTTCCATCCCTGTAATCGATTCTGATACTTACCAATGACTGAGTTTCAAATATAAATGAAGTTAGGACGATCCCCCAAAGGAAGGTCGAGGTACTTAGCTGGTTCACTAAATCCATTTGCATCCGAAAATTGCAGCAAGGTAACTAGGTTTTGGAACATCCCCCACCGTGAACATCATCGACTTATCGAGGTTGATTTTAAGCCCTGTAACCGTCTGAAAGCAAACCAGTGTAGCAAGAATATTCAGGACTTGATCAGCAGAAGCGTCACAGAATATATGTGAATCATTAGCGAAAAGAAGATGCGTGACTCCGGCTCCACCCCTGCTCTCATCCATGGAGAACACGAACAGACCATCAGCCCCTCTAAGTTTCGAGATCATGAATGACAAAATGTCCATCAGGCATCACCAACACAAAAAGCCCCGGAGAAAGAGGGTCCCCTTGCCGGACACCCTTGCTTGCACGAAATCAGTGGAGATCATTCTTTCATGCCTGAGCTTGGTGTGGTCAAGACTAAAGAGAATAGGGATGATATTTGGTTGGTGGATTCAAGCCTAAACCTTTTTAACCTCTGAAGTGATTTGTTTGAAAATTGCAAATCCATCAGCTGACCTTCCATGGCTTGGTATTTTGGTGGTCTATATCCCGATAGGAACGATGTTAGTGATTAGGATGAGAGTGCAATTGCAACGCATTGTTAGTGATTAGGATGAGAGTACTGTCAAGTAGGAGCTTAAGTTCTTAATTCTATAATTGAGAGGTATTTTGTTCGAATCCAGATAACATCTATTAGTAAGTACATGGTGTCTACTATCTGTGAAAATTCAAGTCTATATGAGTGGCCTTCGTTTGAAAGGGTGTGTTGCCTTTGTGAGATACATTATTGCATAGGCGCCCAACCAATGGGTCTGAACTCCACCTTTGCTTACTAACGTGCAACCAAGATACATAGGTTGTATAAACAATTTAGTTCTACTACGTGGTAGCTATTGTTCGTTCAATCACCATAAATTGAAGAAAATACTTCGCCATTATATATACAAGGCTACAATAATAGGCCATGATTTGGTTCATTAATTAGTTCTACCGGATCGACAAACAACCGGGTTTGTAACTTGTAATTTTTTATTTTGGTCAAAGAAAAATAATTTTAGTGGCCAAAGGTGAATTTCTAGTGAGCAATCTAGCAATTTACCCCACCATCAAAATCAAATAAAAAAGCGTAATATAATATAGGCCCGCCTTGTTTTTTGTTTGGGAAGGGGAAGGGGAAGGCCCATTTTGCTGTGTCTTCGCCGGGGTGCTGGCAACTGTGCCAGCCCAGCCATTATCGCCAGGCCTGTGCATCTTGTTATCCAACCAAATCATGATTGTAAAGAGGTACGGGTTAAATCGATGGTAAGGTATTGTATGGTTCAATCTTGGTTCAATGTAAAGAGGTACGATTGAATATTATATCAATTTATTTTATGATAGGTAATTTTTTCGGTAGGATTGTTGATCCGATTTATCAAACATCGCTTATTACGTAAGTGTTTAAGTTGTAATGGGGAAAGAAAGCAACTATATTTCAAAGTAACTATATATATATATATATATATCAATTATAAACATGCAGAATCCATTAATTAAATTACAGTGCAAGACTCTAAAGCATAAGAAATTTCCATTACTATCTCGGTATCTCCTAATAATTTATTTTTGTATCATATCAGGATCGTTGAAGAACATGAATGTTTAAGGGTAAAATCGTGTTATGTAACAAGCTAAATGGCAGTAGCAATAACAGGAGAGGATGATTATTACCACACAGTTATAGAATTCCAAATAGAATGAAGAGTTAGTACTCGGAACTGAACCGAATGGATTTGCACAGATTAATAACCAAAACCAATTAATTACGAACGAGGGGAAATGGCTGGGATTATTATTTATTTACTAAAACGGTTACAATTTTGGGAAGAAAAGAAAAGAAAAAAAAAAGAAAAGAAAAGAAAAGAAACGAGATGGAAACAAGAACAATGGTGGTCGGTGGATGGGCTCAATCTGAGTCGTCGCTGTCAAAATCTGAGTCGTCGTCGGACGTCTGGAACGCGGATGTTGGAAGTTTGCTCGGAGGACGGGCGGTGATTCCGCGGCTGTCCCAGTACAGCGCCGAAATGTCTTCGTCGTCGGAGGGGGTGGGGGTGGGACGCGGACCTAGGCACAATGACACACCTCCGCCCGAAAATTTTGTGAAAGACCCCTAGTTCGTCGGTACTAAAATTTTGATCTCGGGATTTCCGACACACCTCTGATCATTGTATCCGACACCACAACTCCATTGTGTTTATGGAAATTTATTGTCATAAGTTATCAAAATATATAAATATAAGTTCAGGCTAGCGTACGTTCGACCACCGTACGCCAACTGGGTTTTGCTATTTAGATAAATAATTAACCGGACTTTGAGGCATGATCGTATATCCTAACCTCTAATGGGTGAACCCCAATCCATAATTTTTTTAACCCAAACTGCAAAATTTGATCAATCTTAAAATGAAACTCAACAATAATTTCGACGAATCAGAATCATTGATTTTCATTTTTCAAGATTAAATGAATCTTATGTTAGGTTAGTGAATTGGGGATTGCGGTTCACACATTGGGGGTTAGAGTATAATATCATTGTTTATAAATGATTAAGTTGTGTATATTGAAAAACATTTGCTTTGCAGTATAAGTGATGAATGTATTTTAGAGACATTTTAGCAGATGAAAAGTCGTCGTGATTCGTTGTAAAATGACATTGTGAACTTCATAAATTAATTTATTTTAATTTCTACTTAATTTTTTTATTTAATTATTATTCTATGTTAGCGGCGACACACCTCTCCAACAATCCTAGGTCCGCCACTGGGAGCAACAGCAGCCTTGGGCGGCGCCGGCGGAGAAGAAGCGCTGGAGGAGGTGGCTGCGGCGGGTGGTGCAGGCGGCTCCTTCGAAACTTCCTTGGCGGCAGCTGTGGAGGCAGCGGTTTCGGCTGGTGAAGGCAAAGAAGCTGGCTTGGCGGTTGGTGAAGGGGATGAAGGTGGCGAATCCTTGGTCGGGGAGGAAGCTTCCTTGATGGCCGCGGCGGCGGGTGGTGATGGCGAAGAGGCACGCGACTCTTTCGCCGGAGAGGAAGCTGCAGCGGCGGCCGGTGGGGAAGGAGAAGAAGCGGCGGCAGGGAGGGAGAGGGAGGATGAGGTGGACATGGCGGCGGGGCTGATCGATCAACGCAGTGAAAACAAGAGACGGGATCTTTTAGGCGGGTAGAACTTAGTAGAATAGCGAATTGTGTTGGTGATAAATGGATCGGAGGGCTATATATAGTGAGAGTGCATGGCACTTTAGTTTAATTATTATTATTCTAATTAATTAAAAATCATCAGTCAGTTAGTTAAGTTTGTTACAGTGCCGTTATGCGCAGCCATTCGTGTATTCCTTTTCTTTTCTTTTCTCTTTTTTTTTTTCAAGAGTACTGTATTTTCTTCCGTAATTCAACGGGGAAAAAATATTTTTTCCGTACAAGGAGTGAACGGAGTATACAGTGCATATGTACGCAGGCAATTAAACGCATGGCATTGCGTATATACCAAGTTTGCTGACTTTTTATTGGTAATTAGCTTGGATTTTCTTAATTACTTTGGTTATTACAATTTCCCACACTAAAAAAAATATGGTTATATAGTTTGATGAACGAAAAGTATTAGAAACATGAAGATTTAATTGGGACGACTTGCCGTGCTTTTACTGGAAAGTATCAAAGAAGTAATGTCACAATTTTGTTGGTCTCCCGATCGTACTTTAAACATGCAAGAAGATATCTATTATCAACGAAAAGGTTTGTGTCAGAACAGATGCGTGCAATCGATAATCCAAACCAACACGAACGAACACAAATTTAACGTGGTTCACTAACACAATGTGTGCTAGCTAATCCACGGGCAGGGGAGAACAAATTTCACTAATTTGAGGAGAGTACAGGTTACAAACCAAATTTTAAACGGACAAACCAAACAAACTAACCTGACTGACCTCACTACAGACTAGGGTGATGAAGAGTATTTATAGAACTCTTCTCCTAATCCCAAACAGAAAACCAAATACCTTTTCCCAAACATACAAAGAAAAAAAGGCCAAACCCAAACCCAAACAGAATAGGCCAAAACACAAAAACAAACTCAAATCAAATTCAAGTCATATTCTAACAATCTCCACCTTGACTTGAATTCTCTCTCAAGTACCAGATGTACCAGACGCAACCAAAGTTGCTAGATGCACCAAATTCCTCCAAATTAGTTGTACCAGAATCTCCCCTGCCTCCAAATGCCCCTAAGGGCGGTCAACAACTCAAACCATTTGGCAAGTCCAACCCATGTTGAGATTTGCCATTCAGAACCAGCTTGGTGCACTTATCACCAACAGAACATGTCAAGACAGAACCTTGTAGATTATACAAGGCACCCAGTTTGACACCTTTCAAAATCACCTTAGAACCCTTGTAGACAGACAACACTCCACCTTCACCTTTGAAGCTGAAACCCTTGCTGTCTAGTAGACTCAAAGATATCAGATTCTTAGTCATCTCTGGAATATGTCTAACATTGTTCAAGGTGCGAACAGAACCATCTTGTGTCCTCATCGTGACGGAGCCTCTTCCAACAATCTTACAGATAGCACCATTGGCCATAGAAACATGCCCTCCATCTATCTGCTCATAAGTTGAAAAACACTCCCTGCTTGGACACATATGATAATCAGCTGCAGTATCTAAATACCACACATCCTGATGATGTACCTGTTCATTCACTGCTAAGGCTAAACCATCTTCAGAATCAGAGTTAGTTTCTTCCGCCACAGCAGCAGATGATTCCTTCTTCTCCTGATATTTCTTCAGTTTAGGACAATCAAATTTCCAATGTCCTTTCTCCTTGCAATAATGACATATATCATCTTTCAAACCAGCAGAATTCGAATTTGTATTCGCCTTCTTATTACCATATTGTTGTCTCCTACTACTCGTAGCAGCCAACCCAGATGCTTGATTTTCCGAACCAGAACCAGACGCCTTATGTCGAACCTCTCTAGTATGTAGAGCAGATCTGACATCTTCCAAATACAAACTATCTTTCCCAACAACAAAAGAATCCACAAAATTCTCATATGACTGTGGCAAAGATACCAACAGAATTAAGGCAGCATCCTCATCATCTACTTTAACATCAATATTCCGCAGATCTAACAAGATGGTATTGAGTTGATCTAGATGATTCCTGAGAGGCGTACCTTCCTCCATACGCAAACTGAACAAACGTTGATTCATATGCAACTTGTTGGTTAAAGACTTTGTCATGTATAGACTTTCAAGCTTCAACCACAAGCCCGCGGCAGTCTTCTCAACAGCAACCTCAGTGATGATGTCATCAGCCAAACAAAGCAAGATTGTAGAGTGAGCTTTCTCCTCCAAAGTAATCCACTCTTCTTCATCTATGCTTTCCTTCTTTGATTTTCCAGACAACGGAGCCCACAAACCCTGTTGTTTCAACAGTGCTTGCATCTTGATCTGCCACAAACTGAAACTGTTTCTCCCAGTGAACTTATCAATCTTCATACTAATAGCCGCCATTCAAACTTTATAAAAAATTCCAACCAAATTAACAAAGAATACCAGACGGCTAAAAACCCCCCCAAAATCTTCTCCTCTGTTTCGAGCTGCTCTCGCAGTCCAAACAACAAATTTAATTGGAATTAATAATTCCTCAACGCACAAACTTCCAAGATTCAAAATGTCCTTTTCCAATCACAAAAGGACCAAATTCCTTCAAGACAATTAATTACTGCTTCTCGGCAATTAATTTTCTTGCACCAAAATACAAACCCCACTCCAAAAGAAAGAGCCACAAATCAAATACGCAGAGAAGAAAGGCAAAATCCGCCAACCAGTTGCGTGATCCCAAAGGCGACGAAGACAATTGCAATTAAACGCATGGCATGGCTTAACATTACTTGCGTATATACCAAGTTTGCTGACTTTTTATAGGTAATTAGCTTGGATTTTCTTAATTACTTTGGTTATTACAATTTCCCACACTAAAAAAATATGGTTATATAGTTTGATGAACGATAAGTATTAGAAACTTGAAGATTTTATTGGGACGACTTGCCGTGCTTTTACTGGAAAGTATCAAAGAAGTAATGTCGTCACAATTTTGTTGGTCTCCCGATCGTACTTTAAACATGCAAGAAGATATCTATTATCAACGAAAAGGTTTGCCTCCAAAAATACCTAGCTACATAAAGTGGTAATCCTAATTGTTACATGTATGGAATATTAGAATAACCTGATTCGCCAAACCCATAATAACACAACAAATCAACATGCTCATCTATCTCATAGATGCATGAAGGGATTTAAAAAATTCTACGAAAAAGAGTGAAAAACAGTACTATCAGTGTTTTAATTTTTAACCCTGTGCTGCGTAGGAAGACATTCAAACAATAGCCAAGTCATGTTTCTAGTCGGATTGTTAAGCATGAAATCATATATATATATATATATATAACTAAGGAATCTTCTTTGGTGATGAAATGAAATCATATATATATATAGTTCAGCAACATATATAAACGTAACGTAGTGTGGCCATTTCTGGTATTGTGTTTGCCGATCGAGCATGTTAGATTGATTTCTTGAGTCTACACACCGAGCCCACGTTCCTTCTTGACATCTTTTTACCATTGATGGTGTGTTGCTGGTATTGGGCCGTGATGTTCAGGTTGAAGCCCAAGACAAGCAGGCCCATGCCTTGATTCACAGCAACGTGGAAGCTAAGCTTCCTTATGCAAGTGGGAGAGGACGAGAGCTTGTAACCCTAGCTAGTGATGTTGATATAAGTCCCATTGTACAGCCGGTTGGCTAAATATAACAGTAATCAATAAGAGCAAAAGCTGGAGAGGCTAATCTCTCCCGTGGACTAGTCCCGATCAATCGGGGATACCACGTAAACACCGTGTCTTTTACTTTCCGCTCATACGCTAGTTCTCATGGTATCAGAGCTGCTCGTCTAGGGCACCTCTTCGTTCTTAGTCCTTGGCGTAGATCGGCGCCATGAGTGATACAGAAGAGTCAAAGAGTGAAGGGAAGAAGATCGCCACGTCAGAGGGAATGTCTGGCCAGTCGTACGTCGCCGACCCCTCTTCGGCACTCTTCCTTCACCCGTCGGACAGTGCAGGACAGCTGCACGTTGGAGAAGTTCTCACACCAACAAACTACAGTGAATGGGTAGTCGACATGACGGATGCCCTTGTCGTTAAAAACAAGTTTGGGTTCGTAGATGGTACTATACTCAGGCCGAAAGGTGAGCCCGAGAATGGCCCTTGGGGACGATGCGATGCTGTCGTCAAGGGATGGTTGCGAATCTCCATGAACAAGGAGATTAGGAGCAGCGTGCGGTACGCCAAGACGGCGCGGGAGATCTGGCTGGACCTCAAGGAGCGTTTTGGTCAAGGCACGCTTACGAGAGGCTATGAGCTGAGACGCCTTATCTCTGGGCTATGGCAGGAGAAGCTCACAGTCTCCTCGTTCTACACACAGTTGCGCACCTACTGGGAGGAAGCGCAGTCCATCTATCCTCCGAAAAAATGCATTTGTGGTCAGTGTACGTGTGGTCTCGAAGGTCGCACTAGGACAAGGGAAGACTGTACCCGATTGTTCGACTTCTTGATGGGACTCGACGACAATTTCGGGACAGTTCGCAGCCAGATCCTTGCCATGAAGCCTCCTCCGTCGTTGACCGAGGCCTACAACATCGTGTCCAACGATGAGCAGCATCGCCTCCTGTCGCAGCGACGACGTCCAGGAGCTGAAGCTGCAGCGTTTGCAATGCGTGAAGAGCCACCCCGAGCTGAGTCCGATCAGTCCAACTCGTCCAAGCCTCGGATTAGGTGCACGCACTGTGGTAAGCAGGGGCACCTTAAGGAAACCTATTATGACTTAATTGGATGGCCCGCTCGTGGAAAATCTGGCCAGTCTGATCGTGGAGAAAGGAAGCCACGTCGTAGCTCGGATGGACATCCACGCGCTGCCCAAGTAGAGGCTGATGCAAGCCCCGTTGCTGGTTTCTCCCTCGCGCAACTCGAGCAGCTGAGGAAGTTCTTCGATCACGCCAAACCGGCCGAAGACCCTTCGGCGAGCATGGCAGGTTTGACTCTTGACTGCACCGAGTGGTTGATAGACTCTGGGTGCAACGAGCACATTGTTGCCGATGCTTCTATGTTGTGTGATGTGATTTCTGATGTTAATTGTCAACCGGTTCGCATCCCTAATGGTGACCGGGTCCCTGTCAAACAAATTGGAATGGTCAAGCTTCCTACAGGACTCGTCCTTGATCGTGTTCTTCATGTCCCACAGTTTCGGTGTAATTTATTATCAGTTAGTCGGCTAACACAAGATGACCGTGTGGCTTTGGTTTTCATGCGTGATATGTGTCTACTTCAGGACTTACACTCCAAGAAAGCGATTGGGAAGGGTGAGCTGCGAGATGGCCTATACTACCTAAAGCTGTTCGGGAATAGTGAGTCTTCGGCTTTTGCCACTAATCATGCTCGTCTTATTGCGCAAGAGAGGTGGCATGAGCGTTTGGGACATCCATCTTTGGAACTTATGTCTAAACTCAGTTCAGTTATTTCATTTTCAGTTAGTAAACACTCGGAGCCTTGTCATCCTTGCTCTCGAGCTAAACAGAGTCGGTTACCTTTTTCTGTTAGCTCCATTAAGACCAAGGATTGTTTTGAATTAATTCATATGGATATCTGGGGTGCTTATCAGCAACCGTCTCTCAGTGGTGCTCATTACTTTCTCACCATAGTTGACGATTACAGTCGTGGTGTTTGGGTATATTTACTCAAGTTTAAGTCAGATGTTGGCCGTCTTGTCATGATGTTCTGTGAAATGGTCCGCACACAGTTTAACAAACGTGTTCGTCGGATTCAAGCAGATAATGGTTTAGAATTTCGCACCTCCTCTCTGCGGGATTTCTATGATCGTTCAGGTATTGTTTTGCAGACCAGTTGTACTGATACCCCGCAACAGAATGGCGTGGTTGAGCGCAAACATCGCCATATCTTGGACACTGCTCGGGCTCTTCGGTTTCATGCTGGATTACCTCTCCGTTTCTGGGGAGAGTGTGTTCTCACGTCTGTTTATCTTCTCAATCGACTCCCAACTTCTGCGACTGGGAAGACTCCGTTCGAAGTATTGTTTGGCCGGGTGGCCAAGTATGACCATTTACGTGTGTTCGGCTGCCTTGCTTACGCTAAAGACACCCATCATCATCTTGATAAGTTCGCTGCACGGGGGCGAACATGTGTTTTCCTGGGTTATGCCGCCAGTCAAAAAGGATATCGACTTTTTGATTTGGATGCACAGAAGGTGATAGTTTCGCGTGATGTAATTTTTCATGAGTCTCATTTCCCTTACCGTGCACAGGACCCGGCGGATTATCATTGGATTTCTCCAGCCATTTTTAGCGATGATGATGTTGAAGCACCAGCCACCCCGTCACCAAACCCCCTGGCTGATCCCTCGATGCCAGTTGCTCCTCCATTGGCGTCTGCGTCCGAGGATGGGTCTTCGTCCTCGCTAGTCATCACCACGCCATCCGCGCGTGGTCACTCGTCCCCGACCAGCGTCCCCGACAAGTCGCCCTCCAGTCCCGCTACGGTTCCCATGCAGGCCATGCATGACGTCAACCCGGTGCCGCGACGAGGGGATCGCGTCCGTGTGAGGCCGAAGCATCTCGACCTCTATGTTACCAACACCGCTGTTGCTTCCACTGTCAGGTATCCCTTGGCCCATTTTGTTTCATATGCCAACGTCTCACAGCATTACCGTGCCTTCCTTGCAGCTATCACAAATGATGACGAGCCCCGCACATTCAATCAAGCTGTGCGTCTGGCCTGTTGGCGTGCTGCCATGGCGGCCGAGATGGACGCCTTGGAGAAGAATGGGACTTGGACTCTCGTCATACCACCTGCCAATCGTCGGATCATTGATTGCAAATGGGTATTCAAGATCAAATATCGACCGGATGGGACGATTGAGCGCTACAAGGCACGGCTAGTCGCAAAGGGATTCACACAGATCGAGGGTGTTGATTTTCATGATACGTTTGCTCCAGTTGCTAAGCTAGTCACAGTTCGTTGTTTTATTGCAGTTGCTGTTCAGCGAGGGTGGTTCTTGCACCAGTTGGATGTCAATAACGCCTTCCTGCACGGTGATATGCAGGAAGAAGTCTACATGCAATTACCACCGGGGTTTGCTGCACCGGGTGATCAGCGTGTTTCTCGTCTCAACAAATCACTGTATGGGCTTCGTCAAGCCTCCCGGAACTGGTATCAAAAGTTCACTGCTTCTCTATGCACCATGGGTTTTCGGTCCTCGGCAGCAGATCACTCCTTGTTTGTCTATCAGCATGGTGAGTCTTATGTAGCAGCACTTATCTATGTCGATGACGTCATTCTTGGGGTAATGACCTCGTTTTCATCAATCGGGTTAAACTTTTCCTGGATCAACAGTTCAGTATCAAGGATCTCGGTCCGCTTCGTTATTTCTTGGGCATTGAGGTTGCTCACTCCCCGAATGGTGTGGTTCTTAGTCAGCGAAAATATGTGGTTGATATCCTTGAGGAAGCCGGAGTTCAGGGCGCTCGCCCCAGTCACTTCCCTGTAGAACAGAATCATCAGCTGACCAAGCCTGGGATTTCTGAACCATTGGCCGATGGGTCCCCGTACCGTCGTCTCATTGGCCATCTTCAGTACCTGACTGTCACTCGTCCGGACATCACCTATGGCGTGAATGTCCTCAGTCGTTTTGTCCACGCTCCTACTCAGGCCCACATGGATGCTGCCATTCGCATCCTTCAGTACCTGAAGTTGTCTCCTGGACAGGGTCTCTTTTTCCCAGCTAACGGATCTCTCGATCTC